AACTGTAGAGTCCATGGCATATGAGACAAGTGACTGAGAATCTGGCGAAACTCTCAACGAGGTGACGGTGTCTGAATGACCTAGCATCGAGTATATCACCGACTTCTTTCGCAAGTCCCAAACTCGAATATCGTTGTCGATGCCGCCTGAGTATATCTCGTTACCAGCCTCAGACACAGCAATGGCGGTGATGGGGAAATCGGTCTGAATATAGTCGACGGCGTTCTTCGATCGAGGGTCCCAGATTCCGATTGTCGAGTCGTCGCTACCACTGACAAGTATCTCCTCTCCTCGTCTGCTGATGCCCACCGTGTTGATAACCTCCTCGTGCCCAACATATCTGCGGATTCGCGTGCCCGATGTCAAATCCCAGCTTGCAAGGTGCATATCGGCCGATGCACTATATAGAATTTCCGAGTCGCGTGACCATTGTAAGTCCAGAATGGCACCGCGGTGACCATTTAATATTCCGTAGTTTTCGCAATCGCCATAGGTTCTCCAAAGCACTGCCTAAGTCAGTTCATTGTCGCCCAAGAAGCATTGTTCCTTGCTCACTTAGAGACCTGTCCATTCCACCGGAAGCAATCAAGTTGCCTGTAGGATCGAACTTTGCTGCAAAAATCTCGCCCGAGTGTCCTGACAGTTCCATAACAGGAGCTTGAAGCCCACTTGTTCTAGGTGCCTGCAGCAGTCAGTCCAGCGACCTCAAGTTTAGACACTGTCCAACATACAGATTGTACCAGCGCATTGCTTGACGCGTTCAGACGCGCAAGAGCGCCCGTAGAGGAGTTGACATTTTGTCGCTTCACGAGCGACTGAGAAGAGCTGGGATCTCCATCGGCAGGGCGTTTTTCGGCGGACATGGCGAAGCTGAAAGGGTATCAATGGAAAGAATGGTTATATGCGACGCCGGTTATGCAAATGCGCCAACTCTTGTCGAGTTCTGGAGCTGTCGAGTGAAATTGAAGCTTCCTGTTGCTTCACTTTTGACGATGCTGGTGGGCTTCATGCAAAGTAAATCGAGCTCCTACAAATGATTGGTGGCCGGGCCGAGGATTGTTCCTGAGATCGGCGTTACACCCCTCCGTGCACCGACATTCCAGAGCGGTGTTGCCGCTACTGCTTCACCTCCCCGGTTCAAGCTACATTTACATAGCTCTGTTTCCGTATGATATTGGAGTCTCTTCCATTTCTACGATCCTTTTACTCTGCGCCAACGTCCTGTTGATTGTAGAGTTCGGTCGCTGTCCTTGAACTCTTCCACAGCCCCTCCCTCACAGTCGCAATAATGGCGGCCAACAAAGCGTCCCGCGTGGGCGAGGAGTAAGTCCATCATGATAGCTATTCAGGTCCCAAATTACCAAATGCTAACTTGGTGCCAGAATTTGGAAGTAAGCTGTAATCGCACGAGCCCGTAACGGAACGCCCCTTCTAACAGAGTACCAGAACTCGAATCGACAAGGTTAACGCTGAGCTCGTCACTTTGACCTACGGAACTATCGTCGCACAGCTATGTAAGGACTACGAGAGCGACTATGCCGAAGTGAACAAGCAACTCGACAAGATGGGCTACAACATTGGTCTGCGACTTATTGAAGACTACCTCGCCAAATCCAATACCATGAAGCGATGCGTTAACTTCCGTGAGACGGCAGAAATGATCTCCAGGGTAGGGAGACTTAATGCGCAGTGTTAGAAAGTGACTAACGAGAGAAACAGGTTGGATTCAAGATATTCCTCAACATTACTCCCCAAGTGATGAATTGGACAAGCGAAAATGACCAGTTCTCGCTGGTATTCGAAGAGAATCCGTTGGCCGACTTTGTCGAGCTTCCCGACGATGGCCGAGCGCAAGATCAACTTTGGTACTCCAACATTCTGTGTGGAGTGCTACGAGGAGCCCTGGAGATGGTGCAAATGCAAGTTGAAGCTCACTTTGTCAGTGACGTGTTGCGGGGCAACGACAGCACAGAGATGAGGGTATCGCTAATTCGATACCTTGACGATGAACTGCCCCCTGAGGATGACTAAGAGACGCAAAAGGGGGAGCTATGAATGTGATTATGTGATGACGATTTAGCAATTGCAGGACACAGATGGATGGATGGATGGCTATGAGAAATTCTAGATTTTCAGGGGAGAGATGCCCCCAAATGATCGTTGACGGCATAGACGGCGAGATTGTGCCGATCAGGGCGATTGGCATGGAAGCAAACTTACTTACGGAACAAACTTCGTTTTAGCAATCTTGTGAGAGTTGGCTTGGGATCACGGCACGTGTAGATACCCATGGAAGACAGCTGTCAGCCACGTGCTAGGCTGCAAATGCCGGTTAATTGAGCTCACGCCATAGTGATAGAGCCAGAATATTAAGATGAAACATTTTGCATTCGTTTTACTGGGTAATGAGAGTTCGTATATTGCGAGCTGAAGTTTGTTTTATTAGAGCAACTGCCGTAATAAACGAAAGCGAGAGCACCAAAACAAACATATCCCCCTCTCATTTACTATAGAGGCATCATGGATCTTGGTTTTAATTTCTCTCAGCTTCCACAAAATTGAGTTAATCAGCAAACGACACAAACTCATTATCTTATCTACAAATGCGATTTTGGTTATATCTCAACCCCACCGGACAACGAAGAGTTAAAGCCCATCCCACAAGGGCAGATTTTAGTAGATTGATAACGTCAAATCCCCACGAAACGACGGACGATCAATTGGGAGTCAAAAGGGATTTGTTAGTGGAGGTACCTAAGGGAGGCAAGAAAACCTAGGGCCTTGTGAACAAGTGATGAAAAGATTTAGACAAGTTTAACCAAATATCAGCATGTCCTTAGCCCGGTTGATTTTGACACCCTGGCTGAACGCCACAAGTTTTCTTTCTCCCTGGATACAGGCTCAGACCATAATGACGGTAACACATGTGCCTGAGGCAAACGGGCTACCGTTTTGTCTCCGATATATCATGCCTGAGGTCTCAAGACTAGCAATACTTTGAGCTACAGTCTGTAAATTACGCACCTTGGTCTGAAATTTACGTACCAGAATGTAACGCGACAAATTCAGCGCGCCAATGGCGAGGATGACCGTCCGTCTAGCCCCAGGGCGCGTCCCTTAGATCAAGGGTCCATCGTGTGGGGTGACGCGACCTATGATCATTCGGGTCCGCTAACGTGCAAACCTTGGTTGAGAGCCCCCGAAGAGCATCCACTACAGCTGCGGTCTAGGCCGCTGAGTGTCGCTGAGACGCGCTGAGCTTACTGAGCCTCACAGGGCACGTTGGCAGCCCTGTGCTTAACCCCGGTTAGAAGCCAGCCTCCCTTCTGTACATGTTCTATGTGCATCAAACCGGTCTCGGTAGTTTGTGGCCAAGTCGAATGTCTTTGAAGACGATCACGGAGAACAATGAGGGACTAAAATAGTCAATTCTGACAGAATCTCGAGGGTTTTCAACATCTCGCCATTGACTTCAATGTTCACGTTGGATTCGCTTATATGCGCCCATTCGTTCTTATGATCGACCGTCCCGATTTCTTTTAGCTGCAAGGAGTCAAGGCATCCCAATTTGGTGGATCTGTCTCCAGGTCCCAGGAAAACCTAAGCTTTTAACAGACGGCCAGCCTTGTATGTAATTTGTGTTTTACCGTTTTGGTCTGCTGTACTTGTAAATTGCATGCATCTAACCATCGGAGGCGCATCACTGACTGTTGGTACCAATTCTGATATGCGGAGAGTGCTAGTTGAGTATGTTTAAATAAAAATAAATAAACGTTTCACATGATCAAGTGGCCGTTGTTCATAGACTTTATCAATTGACAAAGTTTCAGGGAGCGATTCACAGGGAAGAAGGAAGAAGAAAAGTTTGACTGTCCTCCTCCTTTTCATTCACTCACTGACTGGAGGGATTCCCACCGCCCAAATCAAGGACCGACCACGTTTTTCACCCACAACCTCTGTCTTGCTCCCTTTTGCTCACTCGCCCTCACACCTTTCTTTTCCTCCTCCATCAAACAAAGCTCCTCACTTCTACTCGGCCGTTGTGCCATCTGCTTTGAAAAGCTCCAAACGGCGAGTATCTGTCGCGTTTGATAATTGCAGCAAGAGTTTGACGTACGTTGATCAACCTACTGCATCTATCTACTCTACCTTATACTGGGTCTCTCCCGTCCTCCACTGCTCCCGTCCGTCTGGCGTTTGGATCGTTTCCGTTTGCTGTCGGTACTTGGATAGAAGGGCACTCAGCATATAATTTGGAGGTACCCGCTTGTCCTTGGGGGCATTCCGTCGAATTCTCCAAGGTACTTGGTCTTTGCTCGAGCTGCCCGCAGAACCACAAGTACCCTCCCACCCCTGGCGAATGCCCAACCCCAGGCACTCGTTTTTTTACACTTAGCAACTGAGGCAGCGTCCATCACCTCAGGAAAGCACAAGCCCAGCGCCCACTTTCCACTCCCAGTTACCTCGACACTCCGCCAAATCCAACCTACACCAAACCAACCACACCATATTCATCCTACATACTTCTTATCTCCAACTCATCACCGCGACATCGACTATCGGTCGACTATCGCATCGCGTACTATCGCACTGTCGTGCACGCTACGCTTTTATCACCTTTGATTTCCTACGATATTCCTTTCCGCCGATTGCCGACGCCTGACACGATCCTCCAATTCCCTCTACTCGGGCTCGCCTCCCATTCTCGTCTCCTGGTCTCGTGGTTCTCGCGATCCTCGCCCCCCGCCCGACCGCGCGCCTGGCAACTCGGACCGCGTCCACGTCTCCTTCGCTGGTGATCCCTTGGCTCGCGACCTTTGGCTTCACTGCCCGTCACGTCCACGTTGGGACGCTATCCAGCGCTGCTCCGCCTGGTGGCACGCCCCCGTGGCTACACGAGCCCCCGACTGCTGTCGTCGCTGCAGCAGAGCCTATAGGCCTCTCTCTGTCTCCTCTCCGGTCACTTCTCAACTGTCATGGCTATGAATCCAAACGTCAACATGGCCAACATGAACCCCATGGGTGGTCCTGTTGGAGGTGCCCCCATGCCCATGATGAACAACGGCGCTGTCAACCCCCAGGCCGCTGCGGCTGCTGCCGCCGCGTCTCGCCAACAGGCAAATGATAACCAGCGCAGCGTTCTTAACACCTACATCTACGAATACTTTATTCGCATGGGAATGTACGATTGCGCCCGGTCTCTCCTTTCCAGCGATCAACAGGTCAATGTCCTCAGTAAGGATGGCACGAACCGTCGTCGCGACGAGAACGGAAATATCATCAACGGTGTTGGCGACGATCCCATGGATACCGATTCGAAGGACGACATCGACTCTAAACTCCCCGAAGACTTGCCACCGCCAAAACTTCCCATGCCTGCTTCCGATACCTCTTTTCTCTACGAGTGGTTCTCCGTCTTTTGGGACATTTACTACGCGCAGCGCGCCAAGAGCGGAAACAATACCATTAACCAATATGTTCAGCATACTCAGGTAAGCCATCTCTTTTTTTCTTTCTGTCATGCTGCCATCCAGGGCACTCCAGTCTGGCATCTCACCCACTCAATGGATGATGGTGTCAGATTGACTGCCATGCCCCTAACATTTGGTAACCACTTTGGCTGGTGACCAATGCTGACCCTCGGCGGCAATGTAGCAGCAATCCCGGCTAAAGCAGAATCAACAGCAGGAACTTCTGCGACAGATGAGACCAGACATGGCTACGCAGCAATATCAGATGATGCGCAACATGCAGAACGGCGGCATGATGAACATGAAGCAGGGCAACCTGGCCCGCGCCGCCATGGCTAACAACCAAAATAAGTGAGCATCTTATTTCTCATCGTATTACAAGCCCCCCGCCTAACAGTGATATCCAGCCCTCAAATGATGCTACAGCAGGCCAAGCAGAACCAGATGCAGCGAGATCCCTCCGGTATGGATGGCCAAAACAGACCTTCGTCGCCAGCGTCTGGGGAGAACGCTCCCTCGCCCTCCAAGCGACAGCGCATCGATGGCGCACCGTTCAACCCTAACCAGCCCGGCATGATGCCCAATGGCCGTCCCGGTCAAGGCATGCCAGGCCAGCAGATGCCCGGAGGAGCCAACACTGCCGCCGCTCAACAAACCTTACTTGCCAATGGCATCAACCCTAACTCGTTACATCCTACGCAGCTGCAGAACTTTGCCGCCGCCCCGCCCGCCGCTCAGCAAAAGTCGATCGCGACCTACTCGCAGAACTTGCAGCAACACCATGGTACTCAGATGGGAGGCAAGCAGATGCCCCATGCCGTTCCTCAAGGCCAAGGATCCCCAATGATGGCACAGGGTCCCGATGGAACTGCTCTCAATGCGTTCTACAACCCAGGCGAGATGGGAGGCCCAGGCGGCATCCGGGCGGGACCTGGAGGTCCCCAAAACGGAGGGGGAAGCAACCATGCCCTCCAAGACTATCAAATGCAGCTAATGCTTCTAGAGCAGCAGAACAAGAAGCGACTCATGATGGCCCGCCAAGAGCAAGATACCGTCGGCGGCAATGGCATGCCCCGAGAAGGCCAGCCCGGACAACCAGGTGGTCCTCCTGGACCCAACGGCCAGTTCCCGGATACATCGCCCCAGGCCATGCGACCAGGTGCCTCGCCCAACCCTGCTGAGCAGATGAAGCGCGGCACACCCCAGATGAACAACTCTGGCATTCCTTCACCGGTCCCCGAGGGTGGTCAATCCCGTGGCTCGCCTAACCCGGCCATGAACTTCATGGGCAACCAGATGGATCCCAACATGGCACCTCACTTCTTCAAGCAGATGGATGGCAACATGGGAGGCCAACCTCCGATGAATGGCGGCATGCGACCCCCTAGCTCTCACCCTGGTGCACCCTTCAATGGACAGATGAACCAGCAACAGATGATGGCCGCCGCACGACAACAGCAAGGCCAGCCAGGCCAAGGGCCTCAAGGGAACCCCCAGCAGTGGCAGCAAGCACCCAATGGACAGATGGTGCCTCAGCAGATGCAACAGCAAAGTCCTCAGATCCAGGGAACTCCCCAGCAACGATCGATGCCTCCTCCCCAAGCACCACCCGTTGGCGCAAATGGAGCCAACAGCAGGACGACAGCATCCCCTCAACAAGCAGCAGCTGCGCCGCCAACTCCTAGCCAAACTAACAAGGCTGCCCCCAAGAAGAAGAAGGGCGAGACCGCCAAGGACAAGGTATGTCTAACTGGTGAAGTATACTCTGTAGGTACTAACAAGTTCAAGCGTGCTGCTGCCAATAAGAAGGCGAACCAGAACCTCAACAATAATGCTGGTGCGACTCCTTCAAACGATAACAACGAGTCACAGGAGACTCCAGCTCCTGCGACACCCATTCAAAACGCCAATGCTGCCAACTTCAATAAGAATGGGCAAGCTGGCAACACCGGTCAGAATAGTCAGCCAACGACTGGCCCAGCTGCTAATGCTCCCGCAGCTGCAACAACCGCTCCTCCTCCTCAGCCACCAGCTCCTCAGCACGACCCCAATCAAATGATGGGTATGGATAACAGCTTTGGCCCATTGGTATGTGCAATCTCTTCTTAGTGGTGAAACCGGATACTGACTCTGCTTGTAGTTTGATGGCGGCGGCATGGAGTTGGCCAACCCCCTCAACTCGGGTGACGTGCTCAATGACTTTGACTTTGATTCGTTCCTCCACGACCAAGATGGTGATAACTCGGCCTTCAATTTTACGGAAGCATTCCCCATGGGAGATGAGATAGGAGCAGATTAATGACTTGCGAGAAGGTTTGGGTTGGCTGGCATTACACACACACGATCTTGGGTCAGACTTAATCAGGCATCATTTGTCACGGCGTTCTGAGTGGAAACTATATCATGGTCATTCGGCGATCTGGTCCTGGAGGTGAAATTCCCTCATGTGGTGGCTTCAGGGGAAAAGAGCACTTTTTTTGTTTTTTGTTTATGTTACCGACGCTTCCGCCGTGTTTGACTGAAACAGGTTCGGCACTGCTGACATGGTTCTTTCTTTGGAAACTTCACATTGTCCTACTCCGTCTCTTTCCTCTCCTGTCTTTTTGTTGTTAATTTTTGTTACCACACTTCGTCATTTTGCTTGCGGATCTGAGGTACATGGGTGGAAAAAATCCTGGAAGAGTTTCAGGAGATTTTTATTTAAGGATGAAAGATGAAAGGGGGAAGGGGGAGGTGATATCCCATCTGTGTAAAGTGTCGAAGTTATTTCATCCGGTGTATCCTTAAAGTTCACGGCGAAAAATTACATACCACGCTTATTGTTGCCGTTGTTTTTTTGTTTGTTAAGACAGACGTCGTCACATCTTTTTCCTTTTTCCCTTATGGTGGTTTGGTTATTTGCGGTTACTACCTTTTTTTATTATCTTACGAGTTGACACGGTGTCATTTGTCAAAGATCAACATACTATCATAGTTACTGTCTCAGGTGGTGCAATAAAACGTCCCTTTGTCGTGTTCGATATGAAGAATTCTGATGTGGCTTTGTGTGTAGGTTTGGCTGTTGCTGGGTGGATGGTTATGCGATGGCTTCAAGGGGTAAGCGAACTTCTGACTATAAGTCAAAGTATCAACCTCATCTGAACACATCATTAATTTGCCTGCAATTGATCAGTCGGGATGGGTCGATATCTTGAGGTTTCTTGCCACCCCCTTGGCGGGTTGTGACGAGTGTTGTAAGTCTACATCTCAAATATTTCTTCATGGAGGAGTGTCTCTTTTGATGGATTGCTGACAGTACATATGGACAACGCGGCACCACGGTCATTTGGAGCATGTAGACATGGCTTCTGGCTTATTGATAACTATGTCGAACAGTCTCATACATCTTTTTTTGCCCTTTGATCTGCTCTTCTGTTCCTTCCCTGAGCAGCCTTAATGACACCAAAAGAAACCTCACACCTTGAACAGGACTCGACTACTTCCACCAAAGTTTACCTCTATCCTCGTCCCTCTACATTTTCGTTCTCACGACCTCAATTTTTGGGTTACTTCACATCCAGCACGGCAATCCCATGGCAGCTAGTAGTTGTGCTTCAGCTCTTGTCGAGCCAACAGGTGTTGTACTCCTTATCTTCTGGCTTTAGTTCTCACGAACTCGCTTATTGGGCCGTTCCTCATCTGAGACAGGAACGGCAGGGCGCTCAGCAGTCTTGTTCAAGCCCTCAATGAGCTCATCTGCCAATCTGGTAGCAGCCTTTGCATACTCGTGTGCCTTGCTTAAATGCTGTTCTGCCTTGGTCGCATGCTCTCGTGCCCTAGTCGCATGCTCTTGGGATTTCAACACCCGCTCTTCTGCCCTGCTTGTATGGTCGCGGATTTCCTTTGCCTTCTCCTGTGCTACTTGGATGCATCTCTCTGGATCCTCCTAGGGTTCAATGGCGTCCTGCTGCATCTGAGCTTGGACCTCGGCAAAGCGTCGCTCAGGTTCGCTTCGAAAATTGGCTTGTTCTTCGTCGTAGTTTCGCAAGGGATCGGAGGCACTGATAGGTACTGGCTGGGAGGTGGTACAAGCGGTGCCAGTAGCCACTTGGATACCGTCATTCTGATCTTCCACCTCCGACTTACCGCCATGGGTTGGAGTGAAGACTGCGGGGGTATCCTGGCTCTGTGAAGGGTGCTCGTCTTGTCTCAGAGAAGCTGGATCTTTTCCCTTGATGAGGTGCAGCTCTATTTCGGAGTTGTCTAGATGCGGGTAAAAAGGTTTATCCTTACTGACTTGAGCGTCCCAGTGACGACCAACATCCCCGCAGATGCCTCCGAGAGCTTTCGAAGAGGGGAAAATCGCCTGAAAGACAAAGAAATAAGGGTAGTACATGCTACCTCCGCTGCCACTCGACTTTTGTTTTATGGCATGGTATGTGACATGGTTACTGGGAGGACGGCTATCTCGGATCCACATTCCCGGCTTGAGATACGCATGGATCTCCTGGATGTTTTCCTTCTGGCATCTTTGAAGGGAAGAGAAGGGAAAAGAAAGGAGAAGGGGCACGAAATAGTAATGAAGAGGGAGAATGCGGTTTGGGTTCGTGCCTGCCGTAGGTAGGCGATGCACAGGAGGAGGTGCAATGGTGTAAGTACCTACACAGACCAATGACATGCAACACTACTAACATTACGATCGTTCAGAGAAGATGGGCATCGTCTTTCAATTATTAAGAATTATAACATGACTCGTACATTATTAGTCTCTCCGTAAGGAGTTCTTCTGCTGACTTCAGCTCCCATCTGTGGCTTTCCCACACCTCTGCGAAACAGCTTTACTAACTGCTCATGCGTTCAGTTGCTCTTCCTTCAGCCAAAGGTGATGTTCTCTTGATCCAAATAGATCTCCATAACTCCGCAGTGACTTAAGTTTCCCGAGATCTTTTGTTGGCTCGTTGATCGAGGGCATCGAAACCAGAACCCTCTGGGGTGGCGTTGAACTCATCGATAGGTTCGCTTAGGAGGCTCAAGGACTGATCCAATTGCTGCTGGCCAAGCCCTAGAAGACCGTGGGACTGCAAGACGGCGGTGAGCGAGCGGTTGCTGTGTTCTCGAGACTGTAGGAGAAGATGCTTGAGCTGCTTGCTCTTCTCTTCGTATTTGTTAAGGAGCATCTCCAACTCGCGGCATCGTTGCCGTGTGTCACGAAGTGCTCGTTGGGTCTCTAGCGTCTGTTCCAGTGCCTGCTCATATCGCTGTTTGTACCCGAGGTTGTCCATCTGGAAGTCTTTATCCTTGACTTCTTGCTCTTTCTCCTTTAGCTTACGCTCAAGGTCCGCAATACGTTGCTCGTTCTCGGTGAACTTCATGTTGATACCAGCCAAATATGGGCTCAGACCACTGGGTGGGTTTGGGGCAGGCCTGGCACTGTTGCTGGAAGTGCTTGGGGCGCTGGGCGAGACAAGCACATTGTCCTGGGTGTTCTGGAAGCTCGATTCTTGTACCTCGGGCCTGGGAGAAGGCCTGGACGCAAGGGGAGTGGTGAGAAATGGGTCAGATCTTCCGACTGTCTTCGATCGGATGGGGTGATTGCCGACCAGGAGTCGTAGTTCTCGATCGGAGTCTTGGAGACGAGGGAAGAAAGGAATCCCTGGGATAGCCTTCATGCCCCAGTGTTTCGACACCGTCTCATATAATTTCCGCACTGCTACGTGAATGTCCGGGTTGTCGCGGTCTTGAGGAAAGATTGCCTGGACCACGAGGAACTCAGGGTAGTAAAGAGTTGGCACCCCTCCGTTATAACTACTTTTCCCCATGAAGCGTCTGTAGGCAGGATGGGCGCTGGCACGCTCAGCAGGATGAATCCATTCACCTCTCTTCAGATAGTCAAAGATCTCAGCGAGAGCTTGGCGAGACATGGGAGTCTGTTTTGCCTGCTCAAATTCCGCCCGGACTTTCGCGATCTGATCCTGGCGTTGAACACGATCCTCGCAACGGTGCTCTTCATCAGGAAATGAAGATGGGAGAATAAATTCACCCTCTGTTGCAAAACGGGAAGACGCCATGATACCAACCACGTCTTAGAGAGAGGAGCAAGTAGTAGGGATAGAAGATCTAAGAACGCAGCTGATGTTAGTACCCAGCCCAGGGAAGGAAAGAAAACACAGGCCCTTGACCCTAAGCAATAAAAAACTTGGGCAAATCTAGCCTAAGCTTAGGGGGCTCTTTGCTAAGTTTATTAGAAAGCAAGAGAAAAATGGTAACATACTAATCGCTGCTTGCAGATAGCAATCAAGATGCAGCACCACTCTTGTGCAATCACTCAGCCCGAAGAAAGCAAAGCCCTCTCAAGTAGCAAACAAAACTCTAAGAAAGAGAAAGTAAGCGAGAGCTAAGTATTAGGTTTGTGATGTGTGTTGAACGAAGATGTCCTTGTTGATGACCTTGAGTGCCTGCACTGTTTGCTAGTGATATGCTGAAGGCTCGCAGAAGCAAATGCCTACAATTTGAGAATAAGTAGTACTGTAGCATGCCGGACTTAAAATCGGCCCGGAACAGAACTTTACAGGACTTCTCTTCCTCTAGCAAGTAAATAAATTATCATGTATGGTCCTTGTCTACTTCTTGACTGACTGGGACGCCTGTAACCAGGGACCAATGGTACTGGAATCATATGATAATTATTAGGTGAAGTAAGATGATATCTTTGGATTATTAAGAGAAATCATAAACAAAACTTATATATTATTGCTTTTCTCTGTGACGCCTTGCCTGGGACTTAGCTCAACAGTCATTCTGTGTCCCACGTAGCAGTTTCTAATAACCATTGCTAATCATTCTCACTACCAGTAACCCCTTTTTATATACCTCGGCCTCTGGCAAGTCAGTTCTGACGACGCCGCTTGGGTTCCTCACCACCTGCAATTCCCGCAGCCGGACGCTTGGTCGCCGACTTAGACCCCTCGACCCGGGCGTGCTGCTTTTCAAGCTCTGCAATTTGCGTTGAAATTTGCTGATGATGGGTTCCATAGGCCTGCACATGTCGTTTTGACTCAACAAGTTTATGATTCGCTTCTTGTAGTTGCGCCTGTGCATCTTGCAGCTGGTCTGACTTTTGTTTCAGCTGATGTCGCAACGCCTGCTCGTTGCGCTCTGCATCTCGTCGAATCCGTGCCCCCTCCTGGAGTTCTTGTTGTAGTTCCAAGTTTCTTTGCTGAGCATGCCTCAGCTCGTCTCTCGTTCTTTGAAAATCCATAGAGCGTTCTTTTTCGACCTGTTCCTCGTTCTGGATTTGTGCCGTGAGTTGTGCTGCAGCCCTGAGATAAACTCCCAACTCTCTGTGTTTGTCAGAGGTGGCTTGTCTCCCACTTGGAGTATTGGGTCCTTGAATGATTCCCAAGATCAAACGACGCTCCCTCTGAGAGTCTGCAAGACGCGGATAAAAAGGCTTATCCGGAGTGATAGTCATGTCCCAATATCCCGAAATCGCTTGATACATGTTGAAGATGGCATCATGGATATGCCCTCCGCCCTGGACATATATGGCCTGAATGACGAAGAAGTGTCCGTAATGTAGTGAATGAGTGTAGCCGGACTTGCCCATGAACCTCTTATATGCTGTATGGCCACTCGCATTTTGACTGGATTGGATCCATTTTCCAGACTCCAGGTACCGGTGAAGCTCTCCTACCATATCCTCCCTCATCTGCTTCTTCGCCTGTTCAAAAGAAGCAAGGCCACGCTCGACCTGCGCTTGACGCTGCACAGGATCTCCGCCAGGCTGGTTAACCTGCCCAGCAAACTGGGCGGCAGTAAGGACATACGTAGCACCGGTAGGCTCCATAGCACTTGATCAGGTGGATTCAAGAATAGAAAAGGGATGCCTGAGAAGCAATATCTGTTAGTATCAAGCCTATAAAAAGGAAATCAAGAAAATGTAACTTACTGGTCAAAGATGTTAGGCAGCGAACTCTCTGCGATCAAGCGGAATGCCCTATGGCTTTGCTTTTGAATGGCAACGCCGTTTGGAATGAGAGGAAGATGAGAATGAAGAGGTCAAAAAAGAGATTGAGATTTGAATTGTGTTGCGAGAGTTAGAGGAGATCATTCAGAAGGAATAGTTGCTTGATTTATGTTGCCTGCATATGATATGCTAGATCGTATCGAAGGTAAATTACAGACATTTAGGAATCCTTAGTGCAAAAGCCTAGCCATTATCGGACCTGCAGCTTCTACTGAAATAAGTCACCGCTAGACCTCAGAGAATGAGCTGCTACAGGTGTCAAGGTTGTCTTTATGTGATTGAGCCTGCGAACTCTCTGGACAGTGGCTGCTGGTGTACTGAACATCCAACTAATATATAGTCAGCCTGTAAGAAGCCAGGTAATTGTGAAGAAGCATCTGACCAGATGGCATTCAAGATATACATGTATGTACGTATGTGCGGCGGTAGTGTATTGGCCCCCAGCTGAATGTGATAACTCCCCAACCATGCATTTTGGAACTCTTGCTTATACAACGACACATACAGATCCATCTACAGCCAAGTCCTACTCATGCTGAGTCTCTTGTAACTGCTCACCCTCGGTTCTCCATACTCCCTCGCCGTACTCAACCCTTCAGACGTCTCCTTTCCAGGTGAATTGTCCTGGAAGAAATAATGGTTCGCACTCGGCGCATACGCAACCTTCCACGGGACAACAAGATGTCTCTTCTCAGGACCTCCGCCACAACTGCCGTGGAACGACTTGCTTGGCGGACTGTTGATCGCGAGGGAGAATAAGTTCTGTGGTTCGGTGAAGTCTGTCACTAGACCCGAGCGCATGATGAAGTAGCCCAAACAGAATAAATTGATGGCGAAGACGAGAACGAGGATGACGTAAAAGATGTTCTGCCATGACTGAGTGTGTCCGGATGTGTACTCTTGTGTGATGAGCGATGCGTTGAAGGGTTGGGGAAAGCCAGGTGCTGGGATGAGGTTTTCGGGGTATGCCTTTGGGTCCTGATCCCAATAATGACGGAAGGGCGTGCCGATAGCGCTGATCATGATGAGAGGGCTGGAATACACAGCGAGAGCTTCGGCGAGTGAGGGATAAGAAGCAGGCATCTTTGGTTCATGAAGGGCAAGTTGAGTGAGGATACGAGCGTTGGAGGCATTGTTGTTAACAGAGCCACCATTAAGATCCATAGACAACCGCCATTGATCAGCGAGCCACTACACACTGTCAGTCTTGTTCATACAATAAACAAGGTGAAACTTACCTTCCAGTCAAGAGAGGGAGCAGACCAGCCTTGGTCTGAAGGGAATGATCGTCGATAAGCGTTCTCGTCAGCGTCGTCTTCACAGTGAGCTTTCATGGTGGCACCGGCGATACCGGAGATGTTGAACTCTGTAGAACAGTTGGGCGATACCCACGACCGAAGTTGACAGACGGTGTAGTTTTTGCTCTCAGGAGATTTGCCGAGGGTGTAGATGGCGTCGGCTGCATAGACAGTCGCGTTTGTGAGAAGGTTAAAGTCAAAGGGGTACTGCACACATTAGCTATGGTCCTGACATATAGGTGGATGACTTACCATTTGGAAGACAGGAGGCCGACGCTCGTACTTGGGCCCCCATCTGAAGATGTCATCCACATCAGTCCGGTTGAGATAATAGTCCTTGTTCTTCCCATCAAGTGGCTGGGGAACTTCGCCCGTCCAACCAGGCCAACCCGTCTTTTGGCCAGGGATGTCAGTGTTGTTGACCTTGGCGTTAGGCCATGTCGTGTAAACGAGAGGGGCAAGTTCCTTTTTGTCCATATCGACACACAAGACGTTGACAGATGGTGAGACAACGCCTGCTCGAACGGTGTACTCCCCAACTCCAGCGAGATCGTCAGGCTGAAGAATTCCGTTCAGTTTGAGAGTGGAAGCACCATAAACACCAGGGTGGGGAAGGGCGAGAGTGACATTATTAATAATGCGCCCTGTTTCTTCAAAGTGCGCTTTGACGTCGCCGTGCTCAGTCTCGATCCAGGAAGAGTACAACGTAGTGTTATCGTGGAGCAGCGTCGTCCCACCAGGTCGCTTCTTCATATCCGATGAGACTTCGGTTCCGTTTTGGTTGAGGCTCGTCCACATGTTCATATAGTTAAGCAAATTCCTGTAAGATTGACCCGAGAACTGAACATTCATGCAAGACTCGGCGGCGTGGATGTCTTCAGTAATGTTGAAAAGATACGGGCAGTCCTCACGCACATACGCTGCATTAGCATACGACGCGCGCACATATCCAATAAGCTCCTTATGCTCCCAGCTCCCAGACTTTAGCTTGGGTGAGACCATCGCGTCAGAAGCAGTCGTGTAGAACGCAGCTGCAATCGTAGCAGTAAGCGACAACATCCCCAGAAGCGTCAACGACGACGAAGGCAGTGTTTCGAAGTGAGTGATGAGAGATCCAGGCTGAATAACCCAGTTCCTCATCGTCATTTCCGCAAGTGACATGCCATTCGCTTTTCGAATAAAGGCTCTTCGGGTGAGGACTTGGCCTAGACATGAGACGAAGACAGTGACGAAGGACATTTCGATGGTCTTTGCTAGTAGTGCTGCGAGGGTCGTTGCTGTTGATGGTGAGAGGGATGCGCCAGAGGCGATTTTGTGGCCCCATCGTGGTTGGAGGATGGCTGTGACGAGCCAGATTCCACTGCCGACTGTTGAGTAGACTGATAGAACATAGATCGTAATTGAGAGCCAACTTGATCTGGGCTGGTGAATATCTCGTGTTGTCGAACAACCCTTTGGTGGCTCAGCTATTCAAGTAAGTCTCATACCCTCAACGACAAAACAAGAAAACTTACCAAACTTTTTATAAAAAATCTCATCATCAAACTCATCATCCATAGCATCCCCCCTCGGTTCCACAATCTTAGGAAGTTTCCCCCCCTCACTCATCTTGACTTCTCGCTCCATGGTCCTAGGCATATCGCTCTTCTTCTCATCACCACCGCGCGGCATAGAAGGAGCCCAGATCTGAGAGTACGGCTCAGGCATTCCCTGAGAATCAGCGACTCTGGGACTAGAAGAAGAACTTCCCGCTGGCTGGTGCCCGCCGAGCAGGTTGTGAAAGGAATGCGGTGTCTCGGGAGGACTCATTTTCGCTTCCGGCGAGGGCTTGTCAAGATCGGCCATTTCGTGGGGCATTAGATGATGATAGCCGCTGCCAGAGATTCCGAATATGTTTACACCGGAGGGCTTGCGGGCGTGTATGTCCTCTGGCTCGGCCATTGCGAGACGAGGTTCCCTTTTTCTTTGTTGTGTTGTTTTATGTTTATGGAAGAAATTGGACCTGGAGAAGCTGGGATGAGGGACCCATGCTAAATCCTGTCAGATTGTGATGCGTGTTGTTGGGTTGGGTCAATTCCTTCTACAGGGATCGCTGGGCGAAGGGTGGCGCAAGCGGTATAGAGAGAAGGGATGTAAGACACAAAGAGAGACCGAGTTTCAGATCGGCAAAGACTGACGATCTTGGATTGCGGATGTGTTCGTGCGCGGTTGGGCCTCATACATCTGCTAATTAGCCTACTCTACAGTGAAGAACAAGTCAAGCTCTGCTTTTCATCGAGGAAAAGAAGAATTGCCAAGACTGTTGGTTATGAAGGATTGCTGAGAAGATGATGCAGGCCCAATTTACTATACAGGGATATATAGCTTAGCTGCAGTAAGGCTGAGCTTGAGCTTTGTTTAGGTTAAAAGGGAGGCTGACTGAAGTCTGAGTGGATAAGTTACGATCGATCGCAAGGCTCGGTTACAACAAGTCTGAGTCTCTTTTCTCTGTAAGCATAGTTTTCTAACTGTTACGTCTGTATTCCGTATCCGTCATTGTGTTACTTACCGTTTTCACAAAACGAAATGTCCCAGATGAATGCAATGCAATGCGAATCATGTCTGCAGATCTTATCTCAGCTCGGCATTATCAGCCACGTCAAAGAACGATCATGTTTCACATCTCAACGTCGATGAACGCTTCAATTGAAGAGACTTAATAACCAACCTCGCAAACAGGTCAGTTCATGCCTCTCTTCTCTTCTCTCCCGGACAACGACAGTAAGGCTGTGTAACTGTCTGCACCTCGCCTCTGATTCCCTAAATTGTGGACCAGACGTTGCGTTGCTGACAGTATCCACTGATGGTCCTTTTTTATTACATCCTAAATCCCATGCGACAAAAAAGCTCAGATACATATGAGAGGTTTCTAGACTGAGTATTTCTGGCACCCTCGTTGATTGCTGTCAGCATGCCAAGGCTTTGCGTCGTGTGAACTGATGATCTGTTTATGATGCTACAGTATAATTTCGGAGACTTTATTACGGCTTGTATGCCTCAAAGTGAGAGTAAGAATTCGCGGGAGCTAAGGGAGCTATTTTGAGATGCTTGGACCCCCCAGTCTTGTTAGTGTTGTCCACTATCGTGGCTTAGACGATGATCAAGGACGCTTTCGAGGATAAATACATATAAGCTCGAGCTGACGGGATTGGCTTCCAAAGTTCTTCCTGTGCGATGAAGAAGTACAAGAGCGGATTCTGATCACTAATTAATAATTGATCTGTATCATGCTTCTTCTTGGACGGTGAGAAATGTGTCTGGTTGGAGGTTGGAGGTTGGTGTAAGCAGAGCTGCATATGACAACTTTGCGGTCTCACCTCGAAAATTGAAGACCTTTTGCAATGGCTAGATAAGCGATAAAGTAGTAACCATCGTCTTATTATTCAATTTTCTATACATGTTGCATATCAGAAGAGTCGTCGTGGTCGTTTCAGCCTTATAATCTCAAAGAGGTAAGCGTCGATTCAAGCTTAACTTGTCACGCGACACTTGACAACCACATAGAAACACAATCCTAGTACCAAATCCATTTCATTCGCTATGATAACCCATCCAACCCATTCATATCCTCATCAGAAAAAAGTAGTAGCAGTTCTTCTCTTCGCCCCATCCCCCTTAATAAACCGAATCTTCTCACTCGCATCCCCCACAAGCGTAGCATCCTTGGCACTATCATCAACATCCAGCACCTTGGTACTGCACTTCCCCCCAACATCAACCTCCTCGTCATCCTTGCCAAAGGGGATCGGCCGGATCACCTTGAGGTTGATGTCGCCGTCGTCTTCGCCCTCGCCCAGCCCGGTGTGGAAAATGCGGATGCCCGCTACTACCACGGCGTTCCACGGGTCTTTCTCGGCTTCGGAGCTGGATGAGGAGGATGAGGTGGTGGATTCGTTGTCTGAGTCGCTGTCGGAGGAGATTGTGCCTGTGTAGTTGTCGACGTGGATCCAGAGTTCACGGTCTGCGAGTGTCGCGAGGGTGCCTACGCTTTCGACGTCGGTTTCGGGCTCGCTCTCGATGTCTGGCTCTTCCTCCTCTTCCTCGGCATCGGCTTCCGCTCCTTTCTCATCGACCTTGGGCTCAGCTGCTTCAGCTTCCTTGGCCTCTTCCTTTTCGTTCGAGTCATCGTCTGCGGTAGACTCAGGAGTCATGGGCTCTTCAGGCTTGGACTCGGCCTTTTCTTCACCAGCCTCAACCTTTTCATCCTTCGCAGCCTCAGCCTCAGCCTCCTTCTCCTCCTTCTCCTCCTTCTCTTTCTTCGCAGCTTCTTCTGCCTCAAGCTTAGCCTTAGCTTCAGCCTCAGCTGCCTTCTTCGCCGCCTTCTCAGCTTTGATAGCAGCTCTCTCAGCCTTACGAGCTTCCTGCCTCGCCTTTTTGGCAGCCTTCTTAAGAGCAAGCTTCTCCTTTCTCTTCAGTCGCTTATGCTGATCGCGCTCGAACTGTCGGGTAGCAAGATAGTGAGCCTCTTGGCGCTCCTTGAGAAGCTTTGCCTTGATCTTATCTCTCTTTTTCTGCTTGATCTTGGCCTCCTGCTCTTTGCGGGCGGCCTTTTCTTCGGGTGTCTCGACGAAGCGGCCCTTGCAGTGGCCGAGATCGTAGGCGAGACCAATTCGTAGAAGCTTCTCGCGACGAGATTTGGCGTTGTCTTTGATGACCTTCTCGATGGGCAGGATATCCTGGTTGCGAGTGGCGTTGATCTTGACGCGGACTTCGTAGTCGCCAGCCTCAAGCTCGAGTTCAACGTTGACGGAGCGCGTCATGCGGTATGGTGTCTGGCTTCGCACGACGTAGTCAGAGTGGCCGGCCTTGTGGAGACGGAAACCCAGCTCAAACATGTACTGGCCCTCGAGACCTCTAAAGTAACGATCATCAAGCTGAGCGAGGACAAGAACCACAGGGCCAGACTTGGAGAGGGTGAAGGAGAAGTGTGTATCGTGGTAGTCCAGTGCCCATGGGACAGAGAGTGTAGTCCAGAGCTGACTGACGCGCCAGTCGTCGGTGAAGAGACGGGTTCTCTCAAAGGCCTGATACTTTCTAAGTAGGTCTTCGTACGAGATCCAGAAATCTCCGTCGTCGCCGAAGCGGTGGTCGAGCTTTTGAAGCCACTCGGCAGTCCACTCCTTTGAGCCGTCGCCTGTCCGTCCTTGATCAGCATTTGTTGGTTATGGTACTATTGGGATGACTGATTCCATGGACCGGTCCATTCACCCTTACCCCAAGGGTTCTTGAGTTTGAGGAGTCGCTTGCCATCGATCTCGACAGCTTTCTGAATGGAGTAGGCGTGAAGTTCAACAATGCCCTTGCGCTCGCCCCAGCCACGGCCCCAGATGCCGGTGTTACAGCCAAATAGGAACTCTTGGTTGACCTTGAGCAATTCTTCCTTCCAGAAGTACTCCTACACAATCGTTAATACTGTGATACGCATTGCCACTGTGGAACTCACCTTGTCGAGAATGTCGGTGGTCAGAAGCTCAGAGGTGACACCACCGGTGAGATCCTCAATACCCTCGCCTCCGAAACCGCCCTCAATCGCACCGTAATCTCCGTGAGCCTTGGCGTAGCATTTCTCAAGAAGAGGCAGCCAAGTCTCCTGAGGATGCTGGCACTGGGCAAAGTACAGCGCACTACTGTTTGACTGGAAGATGCGACGATACGCCTCATCCGGATCAACGCGCTCGATGTCGTCAAAGAGGATCCTGTCAAAGTACCCCTCATCGTAGTCCGGCTTGATGAGGTACAGCTAAATGTTTGTCAGTTCTGTATCACGACACACAAGCAGGCGGGAAACTTACGAAATCGTCAACAATCTCCGAAATCCAAGCTCCGTCTCGATAAAACACAAAGCCGTAAACACCAACATCCTGATCATGTGCAACACAGAGGCGTTCAATCAAACCAGGCTTCTCACTGAGAGTACACAGAGCAGCCATGAGCCAGCAATCGCCATCCCGGCCCTGTCTAACATCATTCGCAGTAGGGCCATCAATGTAAAAACAGGGCTTTTCAAAGATATCACCAACGCGCTTCACGCTCTGTGGGCGGAGATCTTCACCGGGCTGGTAGTTCTCGACATTGGAGAGAGAGTGCAGACAGTCGTTGCGGTAGAGCTTGAGATCAACTTCAATGTCAAAGTGAGGATCGCGATACTTCTTGTTGATGCGACGGCATTCCTTGACGATCTTTTCGACTTTGGCGCGGCATGTCGCTGCAGCGTCTTCGTAGGATGCTTGAGTTGTGGAGGTGGTTACTTGGTTGCCTCTTTTGGCGGCGAGATCAGTGTAAGTGTTTGAGGGGATGACAGTAGTTGCTGTATCTATTAGTGTCTGTTTGGTTTGGGGGCTAGGGATTGGGTACCTTTGCCTGGATTCTTGGTAGTGAATTGCTTCCAAAACTTGTCAATCGCTTGCTGAGGCGTGACTTTTGATCTGTCGCCGAGATCAGCGACACCAGACGCAATCTCGGCAAACGACGGGCTTGCGGAGGAAGAACTAGAGGAAGAAGATGAAGGCATCTTGCTTGACTATTCAAACCAACAACAATCATAAACACAACTCCTCCTCAGTAGCAAAATGAAAGAGAATGGAGAGGAGAGGAGAGGAGGAGAGGAGGCTTGCTGACCTTTTATCCTCATACCATGATGCACGCCGAGAAACACAGCGCTTAACGACATCTAAGCTCTCAGCCCTGTAAGCGGACAACTCATCAAAGAGCACCCCTAGATGCAACACTCATCCATGCCAACATGGTAGTAAGAAGAAAGATGTAACCAGAACGGGCGTCGCTCTACCCGCCCGTTTCTGTAAGGTAAGGTAGCTGTGTCCAACGACGATAGAGCTTGGCCCCCAAAAGTCCCATTTTCACGGGCCGTAATACCCCTGTAGCGTGCCCGCATGTCAGCCCACCTAGGCTTGTAGGGCTGGGGAAGGAGGGGAAAGAGGATCGTGAGTGGTTGTTTGTGATTACGTTTGAGGATCCCTGTTCTTTGCGGCTGGATGCATGCATGCATGCATGGACGGGGCGTTGATACTGTATTGGAAGGTCTTGGGGTGATGCCAAGTTGAGGGTGCATCTTGAAGGATTGTCGATGAGTTTGGGCTTTCTTTTGATGTTTCAGTTTGTGTTTATGGGCGTTTGGTTTATTAGTATCAAAACTCTCATGGTTGTGGTTTGGGCTGAGGATGTTGATGATGTGTAACAAGCCACCCTAGACTATTCACATGCACAACCACAAACACAGTCAAACTAATGAGACTACTGTAGACCATGCATATACATACCAACCTCACTCAGTATGTGACATGTCTTGTAGTTCAGGTGAGTACGTAACGCATAATCTGTTTGCCCTCGTTTGACCCATCGGCTGTCATCCTCTAGCAGTGTCACACAGGTGAAAGCAAACTGAAGACAAGATGCACAAGACACAAGCCTGCCTTATTCTGACGAGATGCATGAGAATCGACCCATGCTAAATACATTTCCGATGATCGATCTTACTATCCCTCATTTGTCAGCCGGACAGACTGGCCCTCCAGTTTTGCGCCAAGCCAAAGATGCGAGTGACTACATCATCGAGACAATATCGCTCAACAGCTGCATATCATCTACCCTATCGCAGCTACGCAACCACAGCCTGATTTAGAGCTGAACCCTTCTATCATATCTATAGCCCCCAACCCTCCGCAAATGACTCTACAATGCCGTTCATCAATTCCATCTTCTACTCGCTGCCTCGGCCATGGATCCCCTCAGCATCGCCAGCGGAGTAGCAGGCCTTCTCACAGTCTCAGCCGCCGTGATCAAAACCTTTGACACCGTCAAGTCCAGCATAGAAAACTGTCCCCGGACAGTATTATGGGCACATGCTGAGACAAAAGAGATCAACTGGGCGATTAAGCGACTCAAGAGTTTGATCGATGATCCAGATTCGGTCCCGAAAGCGGCGAGGATGTCGGTTGGCATTCATGATGCGACTGTCACGATCAGTGAATTGATCAAGACGTGTGATCATCTCATCACCACGCTGAAGCCGTTGGATAATGATGGGAAGGTTGTTCTGACGAGATGGGATCGGGTCAAATGGTTGAGGGTGCAAGATGATGTTGTCAAGTATATTCGGCAGCTCCAGGCGCACAAGGGATCAGTCACTCTCATCTTGAACATTCTACAATGGCAAGTCTCATTAGTCCTTGATATCGAAGGCGCTAACAATACGTAGCGAGTCAGACGTGGTTATCGTGGAATCACAGCGTGCGCTGGAACTCAAGATTGACGCGGTCCTCAGCAGCAGCGAAGCAACTCAAAGACGAATCGAAGGTCTCGAAGCGCTGTTCAACAAGTTTATCGCCGATAATTCCACTCTCATCCCTTCCAACCGGTCATCCATGGCCCCGACATTGCATCAGTGGAAAGAAGATGACGCAACAGAAACTGATTCAGTCGCGACATCGCGGAAGTACGATCGAGATGAGTGGAATGGCTTTCACGCAAGTGCAGAGCGATCCCTCAGCTTCCCGACGTCGAGTGTCCCAGAGTTAGGAATGCCGAAACTAAAGCGCTCAACTTCGACGGAAACTTCGACAAAGAGCGAGAGTAACGGCACGACTTCACCACCACGTCGCGAGTTTGAGGTCGCGCTTGAGAAGACAGACGTCTACAAGCGTGTGTACAACTCGACAGATGCCTTCTCGATACATTCTACCCACGGCCGCTCCATAACAGGCTCAGTCATGACTAGCTTCAGTCTTGCCGACGACTCATCCATCCTGTCCGCTTTTCCAATCATGAGCAGGACGGAACTTCAACACCCGGAGTTTTACACCCAAATGAGTGGTAATCAACGCATATCTCGAGATCTCATGAGAGCCATCACAACAAGAAGTGTTGTCAAGTCCCCAGTGGAACCTCCTCCAGGAGCACCATTCTCGCTCAAGCAATTCAGGTCGCCTCCGAACTGCGGTGAGAACGTCATGGGTCGATGGCATCAATCACGGACCAAAGCCTGGCGACCCAAAGAGTTTCGAACAGAGATTCAGTTCGAAGTTCCTGTCATCTTTGTCACTACTTCAAAGACAGACAAAAGACCTATCGACGGAGCGGATGTGTTTTTCATTGATGGAACGAGAAAGAGCCTTGATGATACATGGACTGATCTCGAGCCACCATCTACCGGCACATTTACCAAGACAGGGCGCTTCGTTAAAAATGATCGCGCAACTTGGCTTGCGCTACTGTCGAGTTTACAAAAGATGGAAAACCAATCGCAAAATTGGACGAGACAGCAGATCATGGGGTTACGGCCACGCCCAGCAAGCGCCACAGCAATACTCACATCCATCGCTGGCAAACACACTCTCAACGTCGCTCTGCAACGAGAGAAGAAGAGTTGGGACGACATGCCCCCGTCAATCAACCGTCCCTACGCTACAACTACCATGAGCAGCTTGATAGAAATGCTCGCTATGCTTGGTATCTACTGGAAAGAGTTCAACACTTTCCACAACGTGTATCAAGCTGAAGGGAATGGATTTCTTGTCAAAGGTCACAAGATCAGTGGACTTGGGATCATGTTTCACTTTCAAGCGCTGGAGAAGGCTATATTTGAAGGGAATAGGACGATTCCGACGAAAGCGGTGACGAGACTTGCTTTTGGACAACTCCCTACGATATTTACTGAGGGATCTCCTGAGTACAAAAGAGGCAACTGTTCATATGACTGGCCAAATGTTGGATTGGGGAGTCGGACAGAGGTTGCGGAGACGCTGGCTATGTTTGGATGTGGACGCAAGGCGGTGAATTATTTCTTGAGAGACGGAGCTGTGACATCTCACATCTTCCCAGGCAAGCTTCAATATCACCCTTAAGATTGATGGTACTAACATATCCAGTCACTTTTGAGCTCATAGGCATGATCGGCCAAGTCTTTCACATCAAGGATCTCTGCTTTAGATATATCCCCAACCCATGCTACTGCGTCTGGAGCACAAGAGGTTTCTCTTTTCCCAAGTTACTGGCTGCGTATCAACAATATCTTCACGAAGACCCCGAAATGGCGAACGGACAGCTATCACTTCATGTAAACACCATTTTTGCTCCAAAGACTGGCATTCGACCTGGAGATGACACCCCCCAGAGCTATACTTGGCAAGCACAGGATGCACTGCACTCTGTTCTCGACGAACTTGACGAGTCACTCAAAGACTACTCTTTACCAAGGCATGGAAGTCTGCGAGCATCTCTTGGACAGGAAATGATTGGCGCGCACTTTGACGAACTTCTCTCCCAGATGAACAGCGCCTCTTCAACATCACTATTCCTACCTGCCAACGCAAGCAACAAAGAAGACACTCTGATGAAAACATACTTCCAACAGATTCTTCCCGCCGTGTTGAGGTCAGCATCAATGACATTCTTCAATCTCAAGAACGCAGATTCCGAGTTTCAGGTCGTCAAGGGGGAAGCGGCCCAGACGGCTGAGTATGCAGCGTATCTTCGTGGGGCAAAGGAGGTCTGGTGTACTTTTGTTCTGAGGATGATTTGTTGGCTCATGTTGCATGATTTTCATCGAGATGATGTTCAAATTCAGAAGGGGAGTTTGTTTGGGAGCGATATGCCTGTTTACATCTCTTGATACAGCGAGGTACAATTGGATGATCATAGAGTAAATGCAGAAAGAGGGTGTGGATGGTCAATGAGTTACAGTCGTGATGGAAGGAAGAGGATTCAAGTAAAGAGATGTTGATACAGAAATACATGTCAATACGTTCTCTTTGATCCCTTATATTAAGGTCTGATATGTTCTTGTTCCATAAGGGTCAGGTAACTTTAATTGAGTGTAAACGATGCTCATAAAAGTCGTTTCTAATTGTAAGTACACCTCCAAGTCACTACTAACTGGTGATCTGATACCTGGAAGTTTTGATGTTGTGCACAAGTTATTGTGGTGGATGGTTGAGCAAAAAGTGGTAGATGTGCAATCGATCTACTGTCTAAGTCTAAATTGTTGTTTCTCTAACCCATGAAAGTATGGGAGAACAGGAGTTGCTGCCTAAGGTGAACTCCTCAGTTGCGCATATGATGAGGCAATGATTCAACGCCAAAAGGTCACTCTGAAGTGTATATCTATAGCATCTTCCTCACCTTTTCCATTAATCCTTTTTTTCTCCTCATCATCTTCTCTCCGATCACGTTTGGAGACACTTCATTCATTCTCCCGTGTGAGCGCAACCTTCATGACAACCTCATTGGTTCTTGGTATGACTTAGCTACATTGTTTGGTGATCTCTCAAACATTTAGCCTTATTTACTGACATTTATTTCACTTCAGGCAATTTGCGGGAGGTGATTTTACGGGAGGTGTCCATCTTCGCCAAACGGTTTTCTCAAGAACTAAACGCTGCGGGCATCTTCCAAGAAAATGCCAACAGCCTTTCAGCACTCGAAATGAGCCAGCCAAACTCCAGAGCAGAGGGTGCCATTCCCACTGTCATTAAGATTGAAGATGGACAAGACTTACTCCAGGCTCTCCAGGACAGAGAAAAGAAGAAGAGGCTGGCAGAAATGGAGAGACATGTGATGGAGGCCTTCGAAAAGGTGAAGCCGCGCATGTGCAAACAGGCTGTGAAGGAAACACAAGCATACTTAGACCAACGCGACTGGGTCAAGGATTGCAAGAATCCAAGCAACCATCCGTTCTACTATAGAATCAAAGGAGGCTCCTGCATCGACTCTCCAGGAAGCTTCTACTATCCCAATTTCCTTGTGATGCAGGCAATCTGGCCTGAGAACAGCACCGTGCACAGGATTGCGGCATCGTTTGCCAAGTACTGGAAGTGCGCTGACATGGTGGAAGGGCCAGAGCACTATCCCATGCTCAACGACACAGCGCAGGAAATGAGACTTTTTGGTGGATTGCTGGATATGAGTTGGAAAGAATGGAGACAACGAGATTATTGGTTTGCCAAAACTTGCGAACAACGAATCGAAGAGGAAGAAGACTATGGCACGGAAAACCCTGAAGAATCCAAGGACACAAACAATGATACCCAGGCCGACAACAACGCTACACTCGACGAGCTGGAAAACGCAGCTGAAAGGCGCGTGAAGAGAATGATGGACAAACTCCAGAAAGCAACGGATGATCTGCGCCGGGTCCAGAAGCGCAAAAGGGACACCTACAAAGCTGAGGCTGAGATGCGGATCAAGACCTCAGAAGCACTGAAGAACAAAGCTGCCAGGGACACTCGACAAGCCAATGACGAAAAGCAAAAGGCTGAATGGAATACCATGATGGCGAATAAGTATTCCAGCAAACTTGGAGTATCTACCACAGCTACCGCCGCTTCTTCCTCTGGTGAGCGGCGTCCTGGTGATGGACATCTTGACAAGCGACAGCGGACAACATCGGAGGGAAACAAACCACTTCTAGCGAAGAATAGACTAAAGTGGTGATTGATATTATCGCAATGCAGAAAGCAATTGGAAAAGGTGTGGCAGCATCGCTTAGACAACGATTGTCGCTCTTCTTTTGTGGTTTGATACCATGGGATACAGAAGATCAGATTTGGGTCTTTCATAGATAGACAATTAGATCACGCAAAGGCTGGGTTATGATACGCATGATAGCAGAGAAATCATGAATACAAAAGTTCTTGTTTTTATCAACTGAGATATAACTCACTGAGAAGTGACTGTGCAACAGTTTGTCCATCATAAATATTTGCTCTTTGCTTAGGCAGAAAGCAAACTTGGACAAGCTGATGAGAACCTCACAACCACCGTATAATGGAATGACGACAAGTGAAAACACGATTATGTAAAACCTGTCTTTGAAAAGTATAAATACCCCGATATCCCCGGGTTAGAACTCAGTCAACTTACACCTCAACCCAGTTACATCAGACAATAACCTCATCTATATATATGTATACTCTTTTCTCTTTCTCTCTCTTGTTTGGGATCTCGCCACTCGTGATTGATCTCGAAACATATTCACTAGTCTGGAATGACCCTTCAAACTGGCACCAGACGGAGGTATCAGTATAAGAAGCGATCATAACATTCCTCGACACGGTAATGATCGGACTTCATGGATACAGTAAGTTACCTATATCACTTTGTTACTAGCCTTACCTGCAGTGCTAACTTCTCACAAGAGAGAACTCCTGTGCGAACAAAGACTGCGACATGGTAACCAAAGGAGGTAAGGAAATTTGGGACTTCGACACTAAGCAACGAAAACGTCTAGGTAAGTCTAGCCTGAGCCCAGGATAAGTCTAGGAAAGCTTTTGCTGAGTTTATTTTAGTATATAAGTCCTTCAACTCTCTAAGCCGTCCTTATTTTCACTAAAGCCTCTACTATGGCTTCCCTGGCCTATATCGCCACCGTCTTCTTGGACTTTAAGTACTATGAGGCTACTGGCTTTTAAGGCGTTAAGGGCGTACCCTGCTTGGGCTGTGTTTTAGACTTGGATCTTGACCTTTTCTATCGATGTACCCGCCGGCACCGAGGTTATCCTCCCGATCATCATGATCATTGCCCTTACCTACGCTGTACAAAAGTGCCTCGACCTTGGGAAAGCTGAGCACAGTGACCCTAGCTGTGTAAGTTCCTAACTAAATTATATATCACACTCTAACCTAATTACAGACGGACTTTAACGATTCTCTCCTACCTTTCTTTGGGTGAGAGACCCTTTACTGGTCCTGAGCTAGCTCATCATAACACCCAGGAAGCAATCAATGAGCTATCTTCTATGTGGCTTCGGCTTCCGGGCTCCCGTCATGATCACCTCGACTGTCCTGCAATTATCACAAGCTGAAACTCACATGAAAGGCAGGGGTACATGGACAGAGTAGGTTGGTCGAAAGTATTTTATGCCCGTAAGGTCCCCCAGAGGTCGCCATCCCTAGTATCATTCCAGCCAAATCGCCTGTCGCTGCAGAATACATTCTTACCTTCTGGGCTTTCTCCCACTCCTGTCAGTCCCTGACTTCATTTATACCTGCTTTTATATATTTGTCCGGCGTACTTCCTATTACACAAACCCCAAGTGTTCTGCGGAACGTGGCGTGCAGTCGTCATCTAAGGCTCTCGGCCTTCGCGAATCAACGTTGACAGCTCCAGCAGCGATCCCCTCCAGGCTGGAGAAGGAAGGAAGACGTAAAAGAAGTGGTCAATGATTGACAATGTAGCCTAGTATTGCGATCGCACATCATGCGATTCGACAATTCGACAGACAATCAAGGGTATAAGCAAGCAGACAGCCCCAGCTCAGCGCCAGGATAACTCAATTCTTGAGAGCTATGGCAAGGGTCATGTCGCATTCACACAGTGCTCAAGCGACAAGGCTTATAGCAACAAGTTCAGATAAAAGCCGACATCGACTCGGGAAGACCTCCAACCGCTGAATTGTGGTTTGAGATGAGTTTGCTAGCAACAAGCGTATTATCTGTACCTGGCAAAGACAACTGCAGACTTCAAATAAAAATAGGCTATCAGCTGGCAGTCCGAGATATGATCTAGGACAACCCTCAGGTCTTGAAAAAGCGAAGATCCCTGACAACCCCACGGTGTCAATCCCCAACCCGCGTCATCAACCAGCACAAAGGCCTGGCAGCCCGCCTAAGCCATAGTCATCCACCATGTCCCGCGTCCTAGCAGCTGAGAGTCTGCGAAGATTGTGCACTCCTCGCAGCCAAAGGCAATACTGGTTCTCTCTTCACAATCACCCGCGAGGTTGTGGGCTTTATCTTCAGTGGCAGAATGTTCACCGGCAGTGTTTGGGTGGATTCAATTACATCGGCAGCTGCTGTAGCGTATCCCAAGACCTGCCCCTTTGCCGTTCACACAGCCCTCGACAATTAGTTAGGGAGTGCAAAATCCCCTTCATCATCGGGGTAAGGTGGATAAGAATGATATCATCTTCATCAAGGACAAGACCAAGGCGCACGGCAACTTGGTCTGGTACAAACCTAACAACTTGGATACTGAGAAGCTGCACTTACAGTTTCTTGTGTACGATGAGGCACATGTCGCCAAAAAGTCGGACGGTGTCTATAACAATCTGATGCGCCTGATCAAGTGGTCCAACCTCAACTGGGTCAGCGGCACACCTCTCACCATCTCCCTCCGCGACCTGATTTCTCCACTCATCCTCATTTGAAGAGGACTCGGTATCGAATGGGAACCAATCACTTATGACATCCAATATATCCCGGGACTCTACCGCCTTATCAGAGACTTGGTCTTCGAGGAGTTCGCCGCGCCCAATCCATAAAAGAACAACCAGTTCCGAGTTATCGTAGCCTTTATCAAGTGGCTGATAGTCATCAGAACCCCTGATCAAAGGACTTGCGGAATGTCCAAGTGCTAGACTCACTCAAGCTGGCAGAAAGTGAAGAGAAGACCCCATCAGAGGAAGCGTACCACAAGAAGAGTCACTTGCAAATCCGCGATACTACCATTCCTGGTGAACCGCCAACTGTTAGACAGTGCTATTGAGTTCCATTCTAGCTGGGTTATTAACCTCCCCAAGACACTGGAAGAACTGAAAGCCGAGAACTCTACTTATAGCCTGATATCCAACGACAATATAGGAGGTTTCACACCAAAAGAAGAGAGAATGCTTTCTCGGTATTATCAGAGACATAGCTGGTGCGGCCGTGAAAAATACAGACTATATATACAAATTGGAAAACCAACACGCCGAATATGAGCTCTGCGAATTGCCCAGCAGAAGCCTTCCGGTAGTCTGAACGAAGAAGTCCGCAATGAGGCCGAAGAGCAGGCCACTAGCACTAAGAATGGAAGACTGTACGACCGACGACTCGCAAGAGTCACCCCTGTAGAGTGGATCAAGGATCCCTATCTGGTCTGCATAATTCTGAGCTTGGCTCAGATCCAATGGCGATCTGATACCACAAGGCAGCCACATCTATACCTTGTAAGTTAACAACTCCTCCCCTACTGATCAAAACTGTTGCTAACACAGTATCTTCCAGGCACGCCTCCTTGTGAAACACAGGGATGACCAGCAAAGAGAGAGATTACCCCGGATTCTCAGCTCCCAGAAAGCAATATATATACAGAGTCCCAAATGCCGTCTATTGGGACGACCCAGTCATGGCCAAACGATATTTCTGAATCCAGCCGTTCGCCGCATTATACTTACATCCTTACAGTGCCCGATATCGTATGGGATATCGTCCGTCTGTCAACGGGGCAATTTAAAAGCGAGAGCCTTAAGGAGATCCTTGACAACCCCTATCAGGGATAGTATCTCCGATAGGGCAGTGAGTTTAATCTTGCAGAGAAAAAATTCGCGTTGTAGACCACTATAGAGGTTAACTTTATTATATATACCTCCTATATAACCACCTAAAAGATGCCACTTCCCAAGTCTGTCATAAAGGCTTATGTCGAGGACGACGCGATGTGCCGGAGGGTAGACAGGATTTTAACCTAATGCCCCCGTCTAACATTTATCGTCATAGGTGGGTTAGGGTTGGGGTTAGGGATGACGAGCACTCTGAGACGCGCTGTGGTATACCCGAAGGCAACGATGCCACTCTGATGAGAGGTGGCTATAAGGGAACATTTCCAAAGCCTAAGCAATGCATTCCGCTTTGTCAAACCTTCGACAGAACTTGCCCAGGATCAAACTGGGGAAGCAGTTTCCTCTGCGCCTGGAGATCATTTTCCCGGTATGTCACCCAGGGCATAAGCTTATTGGAACGAACCGTCAAGCTTTGCCCGATTGCCAGCAGACAAGACTTACAACATCACCTCGTTTGTCGATGATTGAGACGGAGGAAATCATCCCATTCTATTCCCGATTCTTGTACCAAGGTCATGGAAATCGCCGCCACCCCTGCTAAAGTCCCTCGCCAGATCCCTCATGGTGGACACGAAAGTTCGCGACCCCTTACGGCCCAGACGCATAGTGTCTGGCTGCCAGCTAGAGCACGAAAGAGACCGAGCCCAACATCCATGTTCGAGGAGGATCCAAATCTATATAGAGACCCTAAACACTCGATCTCGTTCCCAATGACCTTCGGTGTCCGCGACGAGGAGCGAACAATTAACATCCCAGGTCTACACATCAATGTGCTTACACACAAGACCACAAGCCATACAGCAGCACACAATGACATTACCCAACATTTCTCTTCCTGCTAACTTCTTTATCAAAGAAGATTATCTCAAGTTGATGCATAAGTATAATACGGGCGTCCTCTTGACTGCAATCCTGGTTCTCGCTCGTCGTGTGAGCGTTGTTCCCTGGTCAAGTCAGGCTGCACTTAGCTAGACAACTTGTTCGCAACCTCCCCGGGGCGTCGCCGACTCATTCGTCAGATCAAGAAGAAGACCACGAAGAACTGCTATCTCAAGTCAATGCATCAGTATTTCAACCAATATTTCTTCATCTGCCCATACGCTATAGTATATACACATCCTACTCCGTACCAAACAAAAGTCTCCCACGGCTCACAGACCTTGCCCATGTCTCGCGGGCGGACGATATAAAGTGTTTTTCTCACAAAAGTGTCACACTTACTTAACAAGGGAAGGCAAACGAAGTTAAGGCATCTGTCCTTGAGTGTCAGAAATGACTCATCTCAAGACCATCTCAGTTTACTACCTATATCCTTTCATAATCTAGAGAAGAGCCCCTGGGTTCTGATGCTCCATGAGGTCTATATATAAGAGTGGCTCGCGACCTCCAACCGAGAACCATGGCGGTCGAGCTGTGGAAGCCCTCACTCATCAGCCGCCGCGACTGGCGCAACTCCCATCCTTGCCTTCCAGAACTGGTGTTGACCTGCCATGGCTTCCACTAGTAATAATTATAAACTACACAATCCCCAACCCTCTGAGATGGATCCCTGCAACAACGGCCCGTCAGGCTTGCCCGATAGTCAGAGAAGCTCAATATTATATATTCCATCTTATTTTCCATATGATCAGAGCTCACTGAACGTCCTCTCCATATTGAAGATCGACCGAAGCTGTGTCTTCCTCCCTAGCAACACTGGAGAAAACGAAAGACGAAGACGCTGAGTCGGGCCTTCGATAGATCATCCAGTACAGCAGCCAGAGAACCAAGCGACAGTCATAGGATCTGCTGTGGCCCGAAGCGTTCTATTGATGATCGGGAACAGAAAAAGAGTGATCATGCTGGCTCGTTGGATGCTGTGGATGGGTAAATGTAGACGCCAGCCCAGCGTGACATAGTCATACTGTTATCACGAGGGGCCTCAAGTATGAGAACATGCATCACCGCTGTGGCTTCTGCTTTTTATATTATAACTACAGTAAGCTTGGATACTACTGTCAAATTGTTCGGTGATGATTTTGCCTCGCATCCGGATCCCGGAAGATCCTTTGCAATGCGTGCATTGCAACGAACAAAGCACAAGGTACTCCAACTTCACGCATCTAGAAAGATTGGAGGAACCAATGGTCAGTCTTTGGGTCACGAGTTTATGGAAATTGACACCGTCTCACACACGAGCACCGCAGAGACCAGCCCAGGACTCACAAATTCGCAAAACGCCGAGGAGATATAGGAATCAGTACAAAATCACATTCAATTCAACTTGTGCAGATTCGGAATAGAGCCCTCAGTTGAACAACTCCGCGGCGTGTGACACCATGGAATTATTCCTTGCCGACAGTTGTTCGCCCTCGCCCAGCCTGTGATGCTGGACGGTGATCTCATGATATCTGTCGGTATTCTCCCTGTCACTATATCCTGCACGATCGCAAAGCAATTGAGACGTCGGTCAAGACTAAGACTAAGACTAATATTGAGACTAACCGTCAAATAACAGAATGCCGTCATTCCCTTTTGAGCATCTCCCAGCGGAGATGCGTAAAAAGATTGTTCCACACGCTTCCCTCCGTTACTGTACCATTTCGGTACCTACACGGTAACATCGCATGGGTCCATGAGCACCACGAAAAGCAGGCCAGTCTAGGCTATTTCCAAATATAATATCTTCGGGAAACCATTCTACCGCCATCTATATTATTGCATATCTTCCACATCGACGAACCTCTGTAGATCGGAAGATCAACCGCAATACCTGCACCTGCACCGAATCTCCGGTTCTTTCGACTTGCCATCCAATACGTACGGCTTCCGTGTACTAGTCGGGCCATTTCCTGGCGAAACAAGCTCTATGTTTACGGCCCACCGAGCGTGAAGCTTCTGCCCGAACAAATGCAAAGCTGGACTCAGCCTGTCCTCCCCCAAGGCTTCCCCTCTGGCCCAGAACGATGGACTTGGACTCTGAAGATGAAAAACCAACTAGTGTATACATTACAACACCCCAAGTCGCCAATATCATCCGATTTCGGCACCATAGCTTATGAGAACAACTCTTTATTATAAGATGCTGCTGTTTCAAGATCGAAAGGACTGAGAGTTGACCATTGATGATCAGGTGGCACGCTGTGGTAGCATTCACGTTGGAATACTGCCGATGAGGTCGACGAACAGCCATACTTTGAACTTGACCTGATTATCTCCAATGGCCCAAGAGGATGGATTTGGTGTCTGTCATACCAATAAGTGAATTTACGAGTCTTTCTCTGTCACCTTGCCTTCAATATAGCATATATTAAAGCGATTTCTCAACTTAGCTTCCTCTGCAAAGCCATCAAAAGGGCAGAGAGAGTCGGAGAAGAGCGACGGATGAAGCAGCACCGAGATGTCCTCGATCTTGACCGTTCCTTTGTTATATATAACCTTCTAGGGTGCATCTTGAGGGTAGCAAAATGAGTTTTATGGTCATATGTGTCATTTGTAAATACGTCAATGACCAAAATGACGATCTCATTGGGAGCAACAGCCAGCTCGCTATCGAAAATGAGGAGCTCAAGACGACGCTCGAGTTGGTGGAGGAGCGCCAGAAGCTCTATTTTGACTTCTGGCACTCTGCCGAAGAGGAGTTGACTAAACAGCTTGAGCTCAACGAGGAGTTGAAGAAGCATGTTGAAGCAATGAAGGTAGAGGCGGCCAAGATAAAGACTCTCAGTTGCTCCAGGCCGCGACCATGATCATCATTTACAGAACATAGACTTGATGTTTAGAAGAGGATCTAGCCTTGCGTCTCCGCTGGTCCATGTTCCCATATGAATACAGCTTAGAAGAGTGGCCCGGAAATTACCGCGGAAACCATTGGGTCGAGGAGTGCTACAGAATGGTAGATAACATCTGCCATCAGCCCAACTCTTTTCATTTTTCCAAACTTCCCTCTCTTCGCATCTAAACCTTCATCTATCCTTACCTAGCGATGCTTCATTGACGCAACCTTGATGCCTCATGCGCCAAGAGATTCTTCGACATAAGGACGAGGTAGTGGAGTTTACACAAGACGTTGCAGGCATTTTCATATTCGGCCTCTTCCATTAGACGGATACAGAGGAGAGAGTTACCGCCTCCTGCATCAAGTGTCGAGCTGCCTGCTACCGTCTAGCCTACATCTAAAAGCGACTAGAAGCGCAATGCTGGAATTACCCCTGACTATTCTCGGCATATTTCACGTTCCTAGCTGCGACAGCACTCATGAGTGTCAGCTCGGGAGGTTAAATTCCAAAAACAAATCCGCAAGATGAAGGACCACTTAGGCATTTTTGGTCAATCGACCAGGCTTTGCAGATATGTTATTTGATACGATAATACCAAAGCCATTACTGAAATCCAGAAAAGAAGTTATACTGAGTCCAAGATGTTTCGAAGCCGCCATCAGGTCTATATATATACCTTCTGCACCTGCTGAAATAGCATGACAGCCTTGGCCTTGTGATTTGCGCTCAGATGAAATGGAACCGAGATGCCAATGGAGAAGGATCTGCCAATCTTTTCTCGCCTCCCAAAGGCAAAGAAACTTTCTCTCATCATTGAGAACGTTCACCGTGAGTAGCATATCGAAGTGTTTCAATTCTTCTCCCGTCTCCCAAAGGCCAAGGACCTCACTTCGATCTTCTCTCCTTTCTCACTACCCGACTTGTTGAAATGTACGACCACCAGAACACTTACGTAAACTGCAGCTCTGCTGCAGCAAACGCAGGATTCGTGCGACCATCTGCTGGGGAGAGAACTCTAGCAATGTCTAAAACCGGCAGACTAGCCAGGGGATCATGTTCAATACAGACCTACCGACATTTGTATATATAAGCAGACGTAGTATAAGAAACGTCGCAGGATACAGGCTGTTGATTGCGGAGCAAAAATATGTTACTGACCCTGTAAGTACGAAGGATACGCCGGAATTCATGCCAAAAATTGACCCTTGCGGGTATCTTAAAACATCACGCCTCACGACGATGGTCACTACCGTGATGCTCACCCAGAACCTGACTCTGGTGCTATTACCAACCCTTGGTGCTCCCGCTTCCTTTCCCTCCAATGCCCTAATAAACAACGATCCTTATATAGAGAGGAAGAACAACAAAGTCCTTGGGAACACACGACATAATTGCAGGCTAAAGAACAGGAGGAATGCTACGGCATGGTGGATGAAATCTGCTACCAGATGCATCAAGAAAGTGAGTCTCCGTCACAAGATTAACAATAGTCCCTTGGGTAAGTTTGGAATGCATTCCATCTGGTTCGTTGATCTAATATATGAAGCAGTTGACGTTGATGAGGGTGCTTGTGTCTTGGGAGTGAAATCTTGAAGCTTATCGCACTCTACAACGCCACAAACAGCGTTATGTTTTGGATAGAGACATCTTAGCAGCCGGTGGAGGTGAGCCAGTTCAGGTCAAGAAGACTGGATTCGATTCTATTGCAGATGCTGTCTCGAATAACAGAGTAGAAACCAGTTAGCTTTAATAAATGGCACTCCGATACATGACTTATTAAAGCTTTATATCAAGTGCGAAATATAACATAAAAGCTGAGAATAAGTCTTTTGGTCACGAGTCTTAATTCTGTGGCCCCAAGCATCGTGATATCTGGGCTTCGCGAAGCCTTGAGCATTCGTGGAAATTTTTATCATGAGTTTTAGTCTTCGAAAGCTTATCGAAGTGAACAAATGTGAAGTCGCAGGAGGACCAATCTGGTGATGCTGCTAAATAGGGGTGACAGCAGGGAAGAGAACGCCGGGGATGAGACGACCTATAAACCTACCACGCTCGAGGAGAAGGCTAGGAAGCTGGGAGCAGCATAAAAACCAGACTTTTTTGCTTTTTCCTCGACACTTAATGTATCAGCTGAGACATATTGGAGATGAATCTGCTCAGATGGAACAGACAGAAACTATTTTTATTCTAGATATTGCCTCGCGTACCAGAGTAGATATCAGCTAGCTTTGATAAATGGCACTTCTGCATCAAAGCTTCAAGGAGGCGACGAAGACTCGTAAGTTCCAATGTCATGTGTCGAGGTTGAGGGCACCTACCTGTATCTTGATGTTATGGAGGTCAGCGACTCCTCTGAGATGGTTGAGACTGCCCTGGTTGCAGAGGTTTCTTGCCCGCCCTGCCTAGGTATCTAGAGGGGGAAAGAAACCTCGGGACCTCGACCCTCAGTGATAAAAGTCTTAGGTAGGTACCTAACTTGACATAAGTTTAGGAAGGTATTTAGGATACCTTTTGCTGAGAGCCTGCCGAATATGAATCATGTTTCCAGTTCCTTCCCTCAGTACATCCAGGCACAATCCCACTACCAACATAAAGATCAGCATCCTTCTCCATTCTTTTTCTTATTCTTCTTCTTCATCATCATCATCTTCATCATCATCACCATCTTCTTCTTCACCATCTTCATCATCCACAATCCACAACATTCGTTACACACTGCATCCCTTACATCCACAAATATGGCCAACAATGGCGAGAGCAGCAAGAATGCTGCAGCTTCATCCCAAAAAGGCCCCCTTATCGAACAAGTCAAAGCAACTCTTGACACAAACCCACAACCATGGCCTGCTCCGTCGCCTCCAACAATCTCGCTGGCAATGCAGAATCACAGACGAATGGTGTATCATCAACTAGAAGCAAAGTTCATCACCCCTGAAGATCAAGAAAGATGCCTCACCGAGTTTTTTGTCACCACCTCAGATGACGAGGAGCAAGCCGCTTTGAAAAGAATCTGCGACTTCTTCGGTAGAGCTCACGGCAATAGACCACGCCACGTATCCTGTGCCTCTAAAAAGGACGACGACAACATCAGGGTATCGATCCGAAAGGGCCTGGAATCTGGGCGCATTACGCACCATGATTTGAGGCAATTCATTACCGAGCGAGTTGTCCCTCTTAAAGACTTAGGTCTAACAAGCTGCCGTGCCCTGATTCGCATAAATGAATACCTTTTTCACGAGTGCAAGTTACCTTTCCGTTGGACTATCCTTAGTCCAGATGGTTCAGACCCTGGGCCTAGCGCAACACGTATCATGACGCAAGTGGACGCTGATGGATTCGTCAACTTTGAACAGCTTCCCAGCGTCAAGCCCGTTGAGGGAGGGGCCGAAGCTGATGTTGCAGAGTCCCATCAGCCACAGAATGCCTATCCTGAAATCCCCAAAACCCTCAGTACCGATTGCAGCCCAGATCAGGCTCAGAAAAAGGTTGACCACATATCGCCTGTTAAGGAGAAGCCCGATGGGGGTGATGGCTATGTCTCTCCTGTGGTCGCTGAGCCCTCTGAGCCGGTTGATGAAGACGATGGCCATGGTTCCGAAGACCTTACTCAAAATGGAGAACCTACATCCTGGGGCACCCAGACCAGGTCGGATACTACCGTCGAGTCGGACTGTGATGCGCACAACCGCATGACCTTAGCATTGTGTAAGGCAGTCGAACAATCCGTCCTTGCCAAGCAACGCATTCAAATGCAGCTAAATCAGGCGTTGTTGGTGATTGCTCAACGCTTGGCAGAGCAAATAGGGAAGGAGGAGGACCAAATAAAGTGACAGAGCTCTACTATGTACTGATTGAGAGAGTTGTTGAAAACATGATAAATGAGTTGAAGCCAGGGTGGCTCGGAGAGCGTAAGGCATCGGTCCTCACTTGGGAGGAAAGCGTTTATCGATTTTTAGTCTGTCATTCAGCGGAAGGGGTCATAGGAAGTTTTCCTCGGTCGTCATGATAGATATGTCCAATGGGTGATGCAGAGACGAAGCGATGCATTTCTTCTATCTATCCGTTTCGCTGATTGCACATTTGAAAGTGATTGATGACTTACTCTTACTATCCAAGTTGACTGTTGAAAGTTCCGTTGCCTTGAAGGGTTTCAGCATCCGTTAACACGAAGAAACTCAGGAAACCATTGCCCTACTTGTCATCGAGTGCCCAGCGAGTTGCAATAAAGGATTCGTTTCATGTAAGCGGAGGATGTTCCCCAGATCCTACGGTAACATGGATAGACTACATGGCCAACCCCGCATAAGCAAAGAAGGGCAACGTTATCAGTACATACTCCAGTATCCGTACGGAGTAGGCAGAGCCAATCTACAAATGTTGGAGACGATATGGGGTGCCCATGGAGAAGCATGCAGTCATATAACTCGAGGGTTGTAGTCAAACGTTAGCGGGACGTGTTATGCATTCAACGGTCCGACAAACGAGACTAGACTACGGAGTAGGGAGGTCGCAGTGATAAACGGACATTTGTATTCGCCCAACGGTCGATTATCCCCTCTAGTCCCTCCCCCACGGGGATTGTCATTGAACCCACGGACGTGGAGGATGGAGAGATATACTGATCGACTCCATAATACCGCCGATTCGAAAAAAGATGAAGGATTGCACGAGTCGAGTTATCCCTGCTCACTGCTCGAGGTCTCCATATCGTGATGCCGGTATCCGTGAGAAACGGTGCAGATCTCGGTGCTTCTGTTAACAAGTCTTACTTGGCGCTAGGTGCCATTACCGGTCCGACAAGCTAATGACCAGGGTTATGTTTGGAAACGGACATGATCATCAACTGACAGGCTGGTCTCGCCGCTCCAATATGCGGGGTTTTGGGTGCTAAGCGATGCTGATGCTGATGGCCCCATGGAGTGTGAAGGTCTGGGGAATCGAGTGGTTTGGTTTGTTAGTCGAGACTGTTGAGTTGGTGTTGAACAATCAGCCGCTGATCAGTCGAGTTTCTGGGAGACGCAGGGTAAGGCACATGTTATTCTTCGTAGGATGGTTCTTCATTGTATATCGTGATTCTTCAATTGAGCTTTTGAACTTCTGAACTTCCGAAGACCCATATCATGAAAAAGATCGTGTTCAGTATAACCAAGGACCGTCAATTGCATATTGCGAGGATGCAAATCTATGATAGATAAATAGCGATAACAAACAACACTCTCTTCATGCATATTGTTGAATCACCAGTATAAAATTAAGGTTAGGGCCTGAACGACCCTCTTCTCCAACCACAACAGCAGCCGCTGTAAGCTACAGCTCTGCCGCCTCACACCTTCAGCCTTGTAGCGCCAAGCGCCCCATCCTAAGCGAGGCGCGACGCCATTCCGCAATCACAATAACGCATGAGACTCTGTTTCCACATTCAATGCAGATTTTTATGATATGACTATGTCGTTATGGTAACTCGTAAAGCGCGAGCTGAGCTGAGCTGAGCTGAGCTAGACTTGGAAGGTTATTATTAGAGTAAGGTAGGTAGTCATTAGACGTGAAGAAAAAAAAGTGTTGGGCCTGAATGCCCTCATGAAAAGAAAAGAGACACTTCCACAATAGGGCCGAAGTGGTTGATGGTCTTTGCGCGCGCTACTCGTGAAGCCGCCGGTTCCGAAAGCGTCACCAGCGAAAGTGGGCGTCAGCTGCTTCAGCACTTTTTCTCAGACACAAACAGTATCAATGAATCTGACACTCGTCTATTGAAAATTACAGTCTCTTTAAGCTGGGTATATGGTCGTGGCAAAAAGAAAGAACATCGTCAACTAATAAGCTCATTCACCAAAGTTTAACAAACTTACCAAAAATGGTAACTGATAGGCTCCTGGGCATCGGTATCTGCGTCGCCGAGCCGGCCTAGCCCGGCTCTTGGCTCGGGGGGAACAGGGTATCCACTCTTTAACTTACAACCCCAGACCATGGGATTATTAGAGTGCATGTACGTACATACTCCAAATAAACCTGGATGTGGACATGAGTCCGTCCGTTTAAGCACGAGGGCGCCGAGGGAAAAAATACCTGGGGAAACATGGAGTTCGTTTGGGGAAGCTTGTTTGCTCTGGCGGGTTCTGCAGCCCAAGACAACGAGATAGTTTTACACATAATACGTTGCAACGCACTGTATCTCTTGCTATAGCTATATCATCATACAATAGAGACAGAACGCCACCATCTACCCGTCTTTTTAGTCCAAGCCGCTCTCCACGGTCAAGGCGTTATATCTTCCCTCGCCAGTGACGACACTGGTTGAGGGGGAAGGGCAAATAAACCACTACCAACCACACCAGATCTTTGCTGAGCCAATGAACCGCATGACCTCCTCACCCCCAGCTTAGTCTTTTTTAAACTACTACCTACCTACACTACACCATCGTAAGGTGATGGTGCGGCTACTCCGCACTCCACTAGCTCGGACAGGCCGTGGGATAGCTAGCTCCAGCTTAACTAGCTTTTTAGCTTCTGGGGGGGACGAGAGGTCATGTTACGCAAGAGGAGGGTTGTTTTTGGTTATGCAGGTTTAAGTATACCTACACAGAAGTTTATGATGATCGTTTGGGGTTTAAAAAGAGACAATCTCCCGCCTTGCTTTTGGGGTTTTTGTTCTTCATCTCTCACACACTTCACATTTGTTTATACACCATTAGTTCTTATTGCTCACTCTTATTTGAGTGTCGATCTTCATTATGAACGCTATTCGAAGGGCATCCCTCACCAAGCCCGAGGAGGCTGGCAAGGCATGGCCTGCTATCGCCATCGGCTTGTTTGTCGCCTTTGGTGGTGTTCTCTACGGGTAGGCCAACACTGCTTTCTCGCCTGGAGTCCTCATCGTGAGGTTAACAAATCGCAGTTATGACACAGGTACCATCTCTGGTATTCTAGCCATGCCCTACTGGCAGCGACTCTTCAGCACCGGCTACACAGACGCCAAGGGCAACCCCAACATCACAACCGGCCAAGAGTCCAGCATCGTCTCCATCCTCTCAGCCGGCACATTCTTCGGCGCCCTCTCCTCCCCCTTCATGACTGACTCCATCGGCCGTCGTCCCGGTCTCATGATCGCCACTTGGGTCTTCAATCTCGGTGTTGCCCTCCAAACTGCTGCTACTTCTATCCCCATGTTCCTGGCTGGTCGTTTCTTCGCCGGTTTTGGTGTCGGTCAAATCTCCGCTATTAGTAAGTTCACCACCACCACCACCACCAAATTACAAGCTTTCAGAGTTCCAGTCTAACATGCCCACCCTAGTCCCCCTGTACCAGTCTGAGACAGCACCAAAGTGGATTCGAGGTGCCATCGTCGGTTCGTACCAATGGGCCATCACCATCGGTCTCCTCCTCGCCGCCATCGTAAACAACGCGACAGGCAAGCGTAACGACACAGGCTCATACCGTATCCCCATCGCCGTTCAGTTCGCCTACTCCCTTGTCCTCTTCGGTGGCATGCTCATCCTCCCTGAAACACCTCGATTCCTCATCAAGAAAGACCGCCATGATGATGCTTCTAAGGCTCTCTCCAAGATCCGCCGTCTAAGTCCTGATCACCCTGCTGTGCAGGCTGAGCTCAGCGAGATCAAGGCGAACCACGACCATGAAATGAGCCTCGGAACAGCTTCTTACATTGACTGCTTCAAGCCTCCTATTCTTAAGCGCCAGTTCACTGGTTGTGCTCTCCAGGCTCTTCAGCAACTCACTGGTATCAACTTCATCGTAAGTTTTCTCGCTTCGCTATCTCGTGGTTATGAGACATAGCTAACAAACAAACTTCAGTTCTACTATGGTACCAAGTACTTTGAGAACTCGGGTATCTCCAGCGGATTCATCATTTCCATGATCACATCAGCCATCAATGTCGCTTCCACTATCCCTGGAATGTATGCCATTGACAAGTGGGGTCGTCGTCCTCTTCTCCTCTGGGGTGCTATCGGCATGTGTGTCTCTCAGTTCATCGTCGCCATGTCTGGTACCTTCTCCACCGGCCAGGACAGCGATGGAGTCATCTTTGTTAAGAGCTTGGCTGGTCAAAAGGCTGCCGTCTCTTTCGTCTGTATCTACATCTTCTTCTTTGCCTCAACATGGGGTCCCCTGGCCTGGGTTGTCACTGGTGAGATCTTCCCTCTCCAGACCCGAGCCAAGTCCCTTAGTATGACCACTGCCACCAACTGGCTCTTCAACTGGGCCATCGCCTACTCGACCCCTTACCTCGTCGACTACGGTTCTGGCAAGGCCAACCTCCAGTCCAAGATCTTCTTTATCTGGTTTGCCTGCTGTTTCCTGTGCATCGCCTTCGTCTACTTCTTCATCTACGAGACCAAGGGTCTGTCCCTCGAGGAGGTTGACCAGCTCTACGATGAAGTTTCCGTTGCCCGAAAGTCCATTGGCTGGAAGCCTCAAGAGACTTGGCAGCACCGCAACAGCGTTGCTGGAGCTGGCGGCAAGATGTTCAACGAGGGTCACGAGCAGGGTGAGGTTTCTCACACCGAGAAGAATGATGTCTAGAGAGAAGAATCTTGTATGATATTGATTGATGAGGAAGATGTTGGTTGTGTTACAGAATTTGGAAGTTCTGCTGTCGGTAGACTACGATTATGAGATGAAATAAATAAGTAGCTGATATCCATGAATTTATTGTTTTGGTTCAAGTAGTCTCTGTCAATTTGAAGCCTTATGTGACATATGATAAGCTTTGGATACAGATCGATGTTAGTAAAAGGCATCCAATCGCTTCTGTTTTCTCACCCTATACCTACCTGGTGGGATGCTCAGGCGAAGAACTCCCAGGCGGGTCCCGTCCTATAGTACTCCCGCACCCACTGTAATCCACTGAAGCACTAAAACATCCGCATTTCCATCAACACGTGTCAAACGAACCCGCGATATCTTCATCCTTAACCTCATCTCATCCTCCCTCCACCCACAGTCGCTCATTTCTCCTCAACCACCAAAATGTCCCCCTCCGCTGAAAAAGAAAGCCCTCCAGCGCCTTCAATGATCAAGGGCGCTTCCCTCCTCATCATCCTCCAACTCGCCTCCCGCCTCATAACCTTCATCGCCAACCAACTCCTCCTGCGGTATCTCACAGCACCGCTACTAGGTCTCTCAACTCAACTTGAGGTGTACTACCTCTCAGTTCTCTTCTTCGCACGCGAAAGTCTTCGCGTTGCTATTCAACGGCGAGACTCGGGGTCCCAGGCTAAAGAGGAGAGTCAAGCTGTGGTGAATCTGGGATATCTCGCCATTGGGCTAGGAAGCTTTGTCAGTCTTGGGTTGGGGTGGATGTATCTTGCTTACGCAAATGAGATTACGCTTGCTACGCCGTATCTGGTTGAGTCGTTGTATCTCTATGGGTTTGCGGCTATGGTGGAGTTGCTGTCGGAGCCGTGCTTTGTTCTCATGCAGACGAGGCTGCAGTTTGGGACACGAGCTGCTGCTGAGGCGATTGCTACGTTTTTGAGATGTATCGTTGTGTTTGGCTCTGCTGTTTGGGCTTCCAAGCACAATGATATCGGAGTTCTGCCTTTCGCCCTTGGTCAGATTACCTATGGTGTCTCACTACTCCTCGTCTACCTAATCTCAGGATATCGTCTCGCCTCATCAATCGGCTTCTCACTGCTTCCTAGAACAATAAACTCGAAGGACAATCGCTTCTGGGCCTCCATGTTTGACCGATCAACGATTGGTCTCGCAGGAAGCATGATGGCCCAGAGCGTGGTCAAGCACCTCCTCACCCAAGGCGACACATTTCTCATCTCCTTTCTCGCATCCGCCAGCGTCCAAGGCGCATACGCTCTGGCAAACAACTACGGCAGTCTCCTTGCTCGTCTTCTCTTCCAACCTGTTGAGGAAAGTAGCCGAAGTTACTTTTCTCGCTTGCTGTCATCTGTAACACCTGTCAAACCAGGCGGCAAGCCAGTTCAGGAAGTGACAGAAGCGAAGCAGAACCTACAAACTCTTCTCCGCCTGTACATCCTTTTGACCTCAATCATCATTAGTCTTGGACCTTTTGCCGCTCCGCCTCTTCTGGCTATTGTGGCAGGCAAGCAGTGGGCTGGATCAGGGGCAGGTGATGTGCTTGCAACATATTGTTTCTACATTCCCTTCATGGGTCTTAACGGTCTCACAGAATCATTCGTGGCGTCAGTCGCTACAGAGGCCGAAGTCCACATCCAATCTGTTTGGATGGGTGCATTCTCTGTCATCTTCGCAGCCTCTGCTTTCCTCTTTATGAGAATATACCCTCTCGGCGCTATTGGTCTCGTGCTAGCCAACATCATCAACATGGGGTGTCGTATCATCTGGAGCGGAGCATTCATCAAGCGCTTCTTCAAAAGACACGGAACCGACTTCAAGATCAAATCACTTATTCCCGAGAGCACACTCGGCGTCGCAATCGCTACAGCTATCCTCCTCAAGCAACTAAAAGTCGTAGACAACGCAGATCAACCGATCAAATCTCTCGTCAAGATCGCTGGCTCCGCTATCCCATTATTGCTTCTAATGTACGTCTACAAAATTCCAAATGCAAACTTTTTGAAAACAACATCTAATCAACGCAGCCTGGTCCTCGAGCGCCATTTTATCCTCGAGTGTCTAAACTCGGTCCGCGGTCGCAAAGCCGCAAAACAATAGTGCTCCCCATAATAGTTGTAATTCTCTTAATCAAATGTGATCTTGGTCGACTTGGCGTTCATGTCGACGTCCTTGAAGAAAGCGCCGTACATGTCGTGAGCCTTCTTCTTAACGGTGGTACCGAACTTGAGGAGATCTTCGGGTACGGGCTGGTTGGCACCTCGGAGAATGTTGACGAGTCTGAATATGTAAGTATGCATTCATTTGCGGATACATCAGGTACTTACGAGCCAGAGTGCGACTTATCCTCAACGGTAAAGAAGGTGATAGCCTCACCAGTCTTGCCGGCACGGCCAGTTCGGCCAATACGGTGGACGTAATCCTCAATGGTCAATGGGAACTAGGCAAATTAGCGAATGTTAGGGTGGCGATCTGGGTTGACATACTGTAACGTTGATAACGAGCTTAACCTCAGGGATATCGAGACCACGAGCAGCGACATCAGTAGCAACAAGAACAGGAGTGGCTCCAGACTTGAAAGCCTCAAGACTCCTTGTTCGCTGCTCCTGTCGCAGATCACCGTGAATACCACCAACACGAATACCCTTTCGGGCCAAGGTATTCTCCACACGTGTAGCCTCCTTCTTGTACAGACAGAATACCAGGATACGGTCATTCTTATGCTTGCCCTGCTGGTGCTCCTTCAGAAGCTGAAACAGACGGAATTCCTTCTCTCTGGGCTCAAGAACCTCAACTCGCTGTGTGATTCTTGTGTTGGCTTGCAGCTCAACAGATCCATCAGCTGTCTCCTTACCGCCAGATCCAATGGCGATCTTGACAGGGCTGACCATGAAGGAAGAGGCGAGGGACTGGACGGATTGAGGCCATGTAGCTGTAAACATGAGTGTCTGGCGCTTCTCGCGAGGAAGGCAGGCACCCAGGATCTGCTTAATATCCTCCTCGAAACCCTTGTCAAGCATACGATCAGCCTCGTCGAGAACGGCGAAAGTAACTTGGCTAAGATCAACGGTTCCATCAGACATGAAGTCTTTAAGACGACCGGGAGTAGCGACAATAATGTCAGCGCCACATCGGAGGAGGTTTCGCTGATCATCCTTGGAAGCACCACCGTACAGACACACACACTTGAGCTTGTTCAGCGCAGCCACGGAAGCCATCTGCTCATAGGTCTGCATGGCAAGTTCTCGTGTAGGCGAAACAATGACGGCCTTGGTGCCCTTGTACTTGATATCGGAAACAGCTTCAACACAGGGAAGAGCGAAAGCCATGGTCTTTCCGGATCCTGTCTCAGCGACACCGATGACATCGCGGCCAGAGAGAGTGAAGGGCCATGAAGCGGACTGGATAGGTGTAGGGGCCTTGTAATTGGCGAATGGAGAGGGCTTCTTCTCGAGGAGGTTTGTGGCAGGGAGTTGGTGGAATTCCAGAACGGGGCGAAGAGTGACGGTCTCGGACTTGGGGTCGGTAATAGTGATCTGGTTCTTGGAGAGGAATTCGTCAATCTGGGCTTGAGGAACGTTGGAGAGGCTTGCGGTCTGGACGTAAGCAGCATCCGAAGATCCGTCGTCAGAAGATTCATAAGTGGCCTTGACCTTCTTCTCCTTTTTAGACTTCTTCTCCTTGGGAGCCTCCTCGACAACTTCTGTAGTCTCAGCAGACTCCTCAGCGGCCTTGGCCTTCTTGGCCTTCTTCTTTTCCTTCTTAGCCTTCTTTCGCTCAGCACGCTCGGCCTCGGAATCGCCAGTCTTGTCAGCAGGTGACTCCTGTTCTTCAGTCTTGCGCTTCTTGTCCTTCTTCTTGTCCTTGCGCTCCTTCTTCAGACGAGCCTTCTCGTCGTCGGTGACCTTGGTCTTCTTGGAAGGTCGGTCGACGACGGCATCCTCGCTATCAGCGAGGAGGTGCTTTGTAGCAGCCATTGTGAAAGATTATATCTGTTATTCGACCGAGGGGGAAGTTGTACGAATGGCGGTCGAGGGTATCGCAGAATGGCTGGGAACAAATTGCGACGTAAAAATGGGTGGGATGTTTTACAGAGCGAGCGCAAAAAATCTCTTATCGATAAGACAAAACCGTTCGCCTTCCAGTTTTGACCCACATTCCGCTGTCCCCGGGATGAGGTACGTACCCAAATTCCTTTATCGGAGGACCCTGAATTGAAGCATTTCTTTCAAGTCACTTCATACTCACTATATTATGCGTTAACAGCATTTCATGCTGTGATATTGAACTAATGCTTGTACGATACAATGCTTGTTTTTGTAGTCATCAAGCTGGGTTCACCGTTCAAGTAGTCGGCGACACGTGTGCCCTGTTGTGTCCTCGCTTTTCAACCCTTCAGGTTTAAACGACTTACAACATCTACAGTCTCATATGCGTAACGATCGTGTATGCTCCCTTCAAATCGGTACACGAATACCACAGGTGTCATACCTGCAGTGCTGTCACAAGACCTATCAAAATGCAAGTTGCCGTTCGGTTCTATCAAGTTGGGGATGGAGTTACCTCGATGCCTCACTCACCGGGCGATGTAACAGAGTCATGATTAGGCCATTTCTCATTGGCATTAGACCACCTTGGTTTACATGACATTTTTGTTTGTCATATTTAGTCCTAAGGAAGTCACGAAGTATCTCTTGTCCTCCTCTTTGCCAAAAGCTTCATAGTCTCTGTTGGACTACTTCATGATCGCCTTGGGCGTCGGTTGTGAGAGTTTGACTAGTATGTCTGTCTCATTCTTCAGATGACTATTCGAGAGTCCCAAATTGGTGTTTGAATGAGAGATGGCATACAAGTGTACGCCGGGCCCCAGCCACTATGGAGAATGAACTGTGTTCCCCATGTTTCGCACTGGTCTCTTTGGTGGCCCACGAGACTTCACCATGAATGTTAGGAGTGAGCCGCTTTGTTCTCTCGAGGGCTGTTCTGATGCCTATGGAGTCGGTATTCGAGCCGCATTTTATGCACAATGGCTTGGCTCCCTTCTGATGGAATACCTCTCTAAGGAGAACCTCGCAGATTTGCGGTTTATCAGTATATTTTCTTCAGCAGCCGCGTCTATATCTCTCGTCATCGGAGTCGCTTATAACTCCCTTGAGCCACTCGACATATACTTCTTACTTCTTCTGGCCATGGGTTTCTTCATATTTCAGATCCCATTAAACATCTGGCGTATCCTCACGAGATGTCAAGCTCACCTTGACCCGTTTCAGCTCTCAAAAGAGAGCCACGGACATTTCTACCATCTCATGAGTCTTACAGTACTCTCAGCTAACGTTTCAGTTGGAACCTGGTACTTCAAGACTTTTCTCCCTCAGCTCGACCGTGATTGCCGTGACCTGGTCTTTCTATTTGGCAAGGTCAGTCTGGAAAGTCAAGGGTATACCACAGCTGGGTCGGTATTCTTCATTGGGATTCTTGTCGCCATTGGCGGGCTTATCTTTTTGAACGCTTGTTGCACTTTCACCAAGTCGAGTTCGCGACATAGGAGAGCGAGGTGAGATCGTTCCAAGCTACTCAACTTCATGACTGAACATGTTCAGGTCGAGAAATACTTGGCGACTCAAAGTACTCCGCGGAATATCTGGCTTCATCGTCTTTACATTTTTGGTTCTATCGATCGAGCTTCCTATTAAGTGGAACCACATTCAAGGCGTCAACGACTTTACCACAGTCGCACAGTTACTGCCCCTTATGCTCACCATTGGAATATTCCTACGATCTTGGGCTGTTTATGCCAGCGGAGCCAAGGTTACCTCGGGAGGACGAAGGCGACGCAGACCTCCTTCAACTTCCACTTCCTCTTCATCGACATCTACATCTACATCGACCGCATCAAGTGGCAACTCTTCTCAAGTCATAGGATATTATTATATGTACCCTACTGATCACAATGATGAGGAAGATCCCCAATACGACCACGATGATTACTATGACTATTATAACGATTACAATAACAACTACAACTACAACTATTCAAACACAGCCGAGGGGGATGAAACCCAGATTCAGTGGCCACAAGGAGTTCATTTCTCACGTTGGTAAATTGACAATAAATACATCTTTATCGCACAATCAAGGTGAAGCTCGGTGACCTCGGTGAACCCCGCCGCACAGACCCTTGAGACCCTTCCACCCCGCAACCGCAAGTAAACAAACCACCAGTTCCCAAACTCAGCCCGTCACAACCGCCAGCCGATACCCTTTCATTCCAATTGATACTGCAGTAGCACCGAAAATGTCGTCAAAGGAAACCTCCAAGAGCAAGGACAAGGATAAGTCCAAGGTCCATAAGCTGTCCCTCAAAGGCAGCGCTCGTCTTGTCGCTGAATTTGTATGTTGGAACAAGCTGATTTCCTACTTGGGCGAGAGTTTGCTAACCGTTGGGATTTGCAGTTCCAATATTCTATTCACAGCATTCTGTACGCGAACCTGCGCTTTACCGGTCGATGGATGTTATTAACAATATGACAGCTTCCAACGAGGTGTCTATCCTGCCGAGGACTTTACAGTGTACGTTTGTTGCGACCGATTCTCTCGAGCATCAACTGACAACCTCTAGCGTCAAGAAATATGGCCTCAACATGCTGGGTAAACCCACGGCCTCTCTCCTCACGATGCGACCCTTGCGACTAACACCATCCAGTCTCGGCCGATGACCAAGTAAAAGCCTACATCAAAAAGATCATGTCCCAGCTCGACAAATGGATGGTCGGCGGCAAGATCTCCAAGCTCGTCATCGTCATCACAGACAAAGACACAGGCGAGCACGTCGAGCGCTGGCAATTCGACGTACGCCTTTCCGTCCTCCCTACCTCTACAAACTCTCTAACATGGACAGGTCCAAATCTTCCAACCCGTCAAGAAATCCAAGTCCTCCAAATCCTCCTCCAAATCCCAAGAAAACGCCGCTCCCGCTGGTTCCGCACCCACAGCCCCCGAAAAGACAGAAACAGAGATCCAAGCCGAGATCGCAGCTATTTTCCGACAAATCACCGCATCTGTTACGTTCCTGCCTCAGCTCAGCGGCGATTGCACATTCAACGTCCTCGTTTACGCTGATGCGGATAGTGAGGTTCCTGTTGAGTGGGGTGATTCGGATGCGAAAGAGATTGAGAATGGAGAAAAGGTGCAACTAAGGGGTTTCAGCACGGCGAATCACCGTGTTGACACTTTGGTCAGCTATCGATTTACGGATTAAGCTGGAGAATTTTGAGTGTATCATGGAGGGAAAGAGATGGATGAGTTGCTTTTGGTGGATTTCGGCATAACTCAGGCATGATTTATCTTGAGAGGCGTTACAAGGCGCCTTGGGGACTTTATTTGTCCATATTCAATATTCAACGGTCATGATGGATTTGTACGATACGTATCAGGATATCTTGTGATCTATTCTTCGCAGACATAATATCCCAGTCACTTCTACATGGCGTGTCTCGTCTGCTTTTCTAATGCCCGGATACCAAATCATGGCAGCGTGAACCATAGCTGCCATCGTCTCTTCAACCTCGCGCCATTCACCATCTTATGCAACCGGCCTATCTTCAAATTCAACTGCGCCTCGCCCATTGCTATACAGTTGGTAGCCTCAATTAGACTCGCTTGAAAAAGTACACATACGCAAACTTGCGCATCTCATCAACATCATGAGCTTCAACGACCTTCTCATCATTGAAGAGCACCCAAGTTGGAACGTTAGCATCTCCCAAAGCCTTGCGGATGAAAGCAACGTAATGTCTGTAACTAGTTAGCATGCCTATGTGCTGCAGTTGCGTAGAAATACTTACCCAGCATGAATACTTGTACCCTTGTGGCACACAATTGATCGAAGTTGGAAAGTAGCGGGTAAATCGGCACTTCCAGCAGGTTCCTTCGGAGCAGCTGCAGCTGCTTCGGCGGGAGCATCATCATCAAATGTTCCTTGGTCGTCAGGATGGCTAAACAGCCACTCAACAGCCCGCTCAACATCGCCGCCTGTCTCCTTCAGTGCCTTCTTGGCTTGAGGGGCACCGAACCCCATAGCTCCAAGCATCTCGATTTTCTCAGGGTCAGCGGTGTTGGCGCCACCACTTTGAGCACCAAGATCGAGGGGCTCATCAATGTCGGGGTCCTCCATGTGTCCGAACAACCATTCCATCGCGGCATTGGCGTCGGAGTTTCCGGTGGCGTGAAGAGCACGCTCGCAACGGTTGCGGGGGAAGCCCATGGCTTCGAGCTGAGCGAGGGCGGCAGCATCGGGTTCGAAAGCGGGAGCTTTGACCTCAGGCTCGTCCGGCAGTTGTTCCTCTCCGGGCTGCAGTCCCTTAGATAGATACTCGTCCAGGTTGAAGGGCTCGTCCGGTACAAGGACAGGAACATCAACCTTAATAGGAACCCAATTGACGACAGTCATCTTTCGTGCGTTGACGACCAGGGTATCGGGGAATGTCTTGAACAACGATCGCTTGGTAAAGCCATCCTTGCTTCCACAAGCAGAGCAAGTCAGCTCAACCTTCTCTGCTCCTGTGAAGTTATCGAGACACTCCTTGAGTGACACGGGCTTGTAAGCATCTGGGCCCTCTGAACCCTCCTCACGAGGTAGCTTTTCCAGGGGAACGTCGATGAAAATGTTGTCTTGCTCGTTGCTGCTGTACCGCACCTTGTGGCATCCCAGACATTGGAGTCTTTGTTCGAGAACGAAGCGGAAGGGTTGTGTAGGGTCCTTTCCATCGGGATGAGGAGATCGAGTGATGAGCTTGAATAAGTGCTGGAGAAATTCGAGTGCATCCTGCTGTCGCATTGTAGAAAATTCTTCATGTCCTCGGCCGATGAGGTGCTTGAGCATGGCTGGCGCAATACCCTTCTGGTGTGTGATTCCCTCTGCAGCAACATCAGCGTCAGGTTTAGAGTATCGTCCAGACAAAAGTCCATCTGCTGTCTTTCGGAGTTGAGTCTCAATATCCGCAGCTGGTTCGGGCACAATCGGCAGATCGTCATTGGGTCGGAAGTATCTTTCCTGGAATGACGGCATGTCAAACAGACACTGGATGATACTGGCAAGGTAGCAGCTGTTTCCGAGGTTTTTCAAGCCAGTCAGACCAGGACCAAACAGAGGCTTGAGCTCCTTTCCGTCTTCCGTTGTCATGCTGAAGTCCCACTTGAGATTCTGCTCGATCTGCATCTCAGTCAAGCTCTTTTCCGTCTTCTGACGCTCCGCCAACACGATGCCCCAGTGGTTCAGGTGTTCGCCCAGGTTGTCGTCGACTCGTTCGTCGTCACACTTGTAGCAGTAAATATCGGCGGTTCCCTCGGGCGTGATAGATCCCAGTTTGACAGCGACGCCATGACCGGACTCGTTCGCGTGAGCGAGAGCATGTGAGTTTCCGTCTACGCCACCCATCTGCTTACGGCCACATCCTAGGTTGCCACACTCAATACACAGCCAAAGGTTCTCCGCTAGGTCGCAAGCGTAGCAGTGACTCAAGTCGTTTTGCTCGATCTTCTTGGCGGGTGCTTGCTGAAGCATCAAGATATGCTCGCAGCTGGTCAGCTCCTGTTCCCATGCCTTGACCTCTTCCTTTCGAGAAAATGTGTTCGCCTTGAGAATACCGTCAACCATAGGTGCAAGCTTGGGATGTGTTCGGTCGAGTTCGGTATTACAGTCGAGGCATTTGACGGTCAGCGCTGTATCATATCGGTCCTCCTCGGTTTCGGCGGCGATAGCTAGCTTGGACATCTTGGCGGGTGGTTCGTCTCGTTCGACAATCTTTCTTGTGCGGCGGATATTGAGAGCGAGGGGATGCTGGGTCAGCGCATAGTGAAGTCTATCATGGTTACGGTCGCCAGCGCATCCTCCGTTGAAACACTGGAGGCAGACATCGAGTCCAGCAGGATCGTCCTGTTCAACTTGGTCAGCAAGCTAAGCTTCGAGGATTCCAATGGTTCGGCGCTCAGCAAGTGGGAGTCCTACGATGGAGTCGAAACATTGAGTACAATCTTCGCGATAGACGGACTGAGAAGGGTTAGGGGGTGTCAGCCCTACAGTACAGTTAGTCTATAGGGCTCTAATGAGGTTGACCGCGAGCTTGTCGCAACTATCATGACTGGTGGCCGATCAAATGGCGGGGTCAATTTTGAGGATTCACGTACCGATCAAGTCGAGATGCTGGCAAGCCATGATGGGCAGATTTTGGCTTTGCTTGCTCTTTTTACAATTCAAGGTTTTTCCAGGACGAAAAAGAAGATTGAAATACTGTGTGTAGAAGGTTGATGTGGAATCAAATTCGAGTTGAAATCAGCGCTGGAGTTGAAAGCTTCAGGTACTTTAGTGATAGGCGGCACACGTCACTGGAGCTTAGGTTGCCTGGGAAAGGCGGCGGGGCATTCCACCAGCCACTCAACCCGTTTGGTGGCGCTGTGGCGTTGTTCCTTTGATGATTCCATCCAAGGTCCAGGTTCAGACTTTTGATGATTCCATATGACAGCGGTAATTCTGATGTGTCTTGACTGGTTGGTGTCTGTTGCGACCTCCTTTGTCTCGGAAAATGACATGTTGATAGGTCAAAACGTTGCATTCAGTGATGGTGTTTCGTGATTGGCACTAGCTATTCCACAGGCTTGAAAGCGCCTTGCAAGTCTCACAAACAACTCTAGCAGAGAAGCCAGACGTTATACAACATGGTCTGGGCTTAGGTACCAATGATACAAGCTAGGGGCTTGAATTTAAGTATTCCCACAACCTGGGACTCAAAGTGGGCAGTTCGTTCTTTCACATGGTAGCACCAGAGAGCCTACCCTAAAGTCACTGATTGAGCTACAAAACAGACCTCATTCAAACTTAACTCCTCCCCATTCTCTGATTGTAGAAGCAACCACCAGTAAGATTAACACACAGCAAAATGTTGAAACACGATTCTACAATTATCCTGGAGCCATCAAAATATAGCAAGTGTATATCCTCTCAATACTCGGGATGGTCGCGAGACAAAAGTTCATCTGGCCAGATGTAGTGCCCTTGGATCCGTCACGTATCACTACCTATTTTGCAACGACTTGACGTCCTGGTCCAAGAATTGGGAATTGCCAACAACCGTGGAGCACATATCCTGCCCATCTATAGAGAGGCTCTTGCTTCTCATTGTTCATATCGTCGTCCACTGCATGGTCCATCGCTTGCGCGGCGACCTGCATCGCTTTGGCAAGATTCACTAAGCGGCTGCCGCTGGCTCTTGGTATATTGCCATCTGCGGTGGTGCTCTGTTTAGTGAACGAGTCGAAGAACAATTTCGAAAACGTCGACCCGTGTCCATCGTCAATTTTCCACAGCGTCGATACAGTTGAACTGGCCCCAGAACACATCAGTGCAGGGACAAGTCCCAAGACTTCGTCTCCAAGAGGTGCCTTCACGAGGCCTCCTTGGCACGCTATCATGTTGACATGTGTGCCTGGCAAGACACGGATGTCGAATATTTCGCGGGCTGTCAAGCTCTCAACCTTGGGTTGCCCCTCTGATGGCGCGCCCAGCATGGGAAACTCGACCTGGTGATCCAGAGGATCTGTCGATCCCCAGCCGCAATGAGTGTGCAGATGAAGGAGACGAGACTCGGCAGTCGCTTTCAAGAACTTCTCCTTGGAGCCGGTCTGGTCGATCATTGGAATTGTGCCGAACCGACCGGCTAGTTTCCGGATGCTGGTGCGTCCAGCTTCATACCTCTTGGAGTGGGATTCTGGAATGCCTGATATGAATTTGGGGTTGATAGGCTCCGGGGATTCTCGAGCTAATCCTGTAGCCGCGAAGCAGGAGCGCAGAAGTGACTGGCTGTGTGTGTAAACGACGGGATTCCGGTGTATCAGCGCTTGATGTCCTCCAATCGCAAGTGCGTGAAGCGGAAGCCGGTGGAGAGCAGAGGATGGACACAGGACAATGAGATCACCCTTCTTAGCATGGCGGGAAAGCGGCGCAATGAGGCCACCTAGCATGCTATCGAATGCTTTGCGTGCATCTTGGGTGTCGAGATTCTCCTCTTGTATATGTTTGAAGTTTTCTGGGATAAGATATGTTTTAAGCCAAGTATTCACATCTTCTACTCTTGTAGTCAACATATCCATGGTAAGTTTTGCACTCCTGTTTCCTTTGGATCGCTTCTTAACTGTGAGCAGCAACAGTCTATCGGTGTCCCCGGTGAAATATGGAGGGAGGTGGAACCAGTCAACCAGGACAATGCTTGTACCGCTCTGGGCTGTGATTCTGGCCATATCAGACAAATGGAACGGCTGGGCCTCTCTCAAGTCGAGGAGTTGCCTCAACAAATCGTGTGTCTCTCTCATAGTTCGACGATGCGTGTCTAGCTGCCGGCGCAGGTTGAACTTGGCCATCCCCTGAGCCTCCTTGATACGCTGTTCTATCTCCAGCATCTCGTCGTAACCGCGTGCAGCTTCAGGACACGCCTTGATCTTATCCACCATCTCAGGTGGATCAGTCATACGCACCCCGATGGTCCGCGCCAGTGAACGTGCTTTGTACTTCTGCACCCACTGCCATATCTTTGTGATAGTCTAATCAGACGGCTCACCTGGGGCCGCGAGAAGCAATTCGATAGCTGTGAGGATTGTAAATGCATTTGCATTGGATGCGGTGATGCTCTGTCGGTGTGTGATGCCTTCTAGGCCTGCACTTGAGGAGGCATGGAGCTCGCTCAACGAAAATATCTCATCGGCCTCATCGGCTTGACTAATTCCTCTATTGCGGAGCTCGTGGACTTTTGCCTCAGCATAGACTGAGAGAGAAGGAATTTCGTTCTCTGCCTCTTTGCGACTATTGTCTACTGTTCCACCTCTGGTATTGCTGGAGCCCGCTGCTTGCTGCTCTAATTGTCTTATTCGTCTGATCATGAACATGCAGATTTGCGCTCCAGATCGCTGGTGAAGAGCCACCCGAACCAGGTCTTTGTTTCGACGAAACTCAGCCAGAGCACGGTCGTTGTATATCTGAGCATTTGAAAGTCGTTCTCCTGATTCAGCACTGGTAAAATCCGCCGAGTAGTCAAGTGGCGCCATGTATGTGAGTGCCACTTGGGCTAGCCAACTGCCCTTATTACCTGGAAACTTGTCCCGGATGATCTGAGGGAGGCTTTCTTCGAGCTCGAGTAGACTCTTGAGCTCGGAGAGACGAAGGTCCCAGAGCTGGAGATCAGAAAAGTGCATCTGCCTCCCGAATCTAAGCATGACCAAACAGAACAATCGACGGTTCTTTTGATGCATAGGGGGTTTGCCGAGCCATGCACAGAGTCGCGTGTACCGTTCTTCTGTGGCCTCACAGATATCAGTGGCTTTGGGGAAGACGATAGCTTTCAATGCGACTTCCGTCATGCCTGTGAACTCTTCAAGGGCAGAGTTTCCAGTGGTGATATCTTCGAGCAGCCATACCAGAACCAGCTGAATGGACATTTCTTGTATTTTTGCCTGATCCCCAATGGCATCGCTCCAGCCCCAGAAGAATGTCTCCTCCCCATCATCGCCCTGAAACTGATGCTGGGGATCTGGCTGCACAGAAGAAGTGGTGTTCCTTTTAGTGGGAGCGCGGTAGCCCTGCCTCGAATGCATCCAATTGCCTACCGATGGCGCGGATGTCTCCAATTTACTGGCCTTCTCGTCCACCCTGCCGGCTTCATCATGCCGACGAAGACTTCGCAGGAGTGATGCCTGACTCCCAAGGAGCAACGCCTTTACCACCGGGGCTTTGAAGTGCGGATACTCCTTCAAGAAGTCATCAACCCAGTCCAGAGCCTTGTCGCGATCAATAAGGCTCGCGAGGGCAACGGAGTTAAGATCAACATGATGGTGCACTAGATCACAAATGTCCTCCGATACCGTCTGGTCATACGTATCGAGGCGCCTCTGCACGTCAAAATACGTGGTCCTGAACAATTCCATTCCTGTGACCTCGTAATATTTCCTGGACAGATCTGCAGCCGCCGCTAAGCAATAGCCAGTCTTCGTGCCGTCAACAGCTTCCATGTGAGTGGCCAGCTGCTCTGTTCGGTCTAATTTGTCGATAGGGTCGTCGATGCATGAAAGCCTCTCGTACGCCATTGCTTGCATATGCGGTGTGGCCTCCTTGTTTCTGATGCCAAAGTCATTGCAGAACCTCTGGAAAGCCGCCTCAGATCTGTCGAATTCCTCAGCAGCGCTCTCTGACGCTTGTAGCTGAATATGTGTGGTCGCCCACTGAAGACGAACCACCGCCTCGATGTAGTCCCGACCCCGACTCGGAGGGATGTTTGCTACAGCCTCCAGAAACTCGTCAACCACAGGGCCTCGGTCTTCTGGTGGCGTACGGTTCAGCTCCACGCGGAACAAGGCATTGGCTTCGTTGAGCATGCCTCGCTGTGTCAGAGAGCGCCTTAGTAGTTGTAGTCCACCCCAGGGGATCCTCCCACCTGAAGCGTCTGTCCTGTCATGTAACGGGATGTGCTCTGCCTCTGTATTATTGTGTTTCGAATAGAGCCTGGTGAACAGGCTCGCGATGACATATCGGCGAATACAACCTGCCTAAGCACGACGTTAGGTCGGTCGTCATATCAAGTTTGGGGGTTTTGGGACAGCTGCCGTACCTGGATATCAGTATAATTCGCTACAGGTACTCCATCAAGCCAACGCTGTGTCCTTTTAATCTCTTCATTTGACGAGTTCACATCACCTCGATGTCTCGTTCCGAGCATGGCCCACGTCAAAAGCATGAGTCGATGTTCGGGTGATTCGAGGTCTTCTTTGGCTTCTCGCAGCTTCAAAAGCTCTAAGTCTAGGATCCGCCATGCTCGGCCCCATTTGCCTGCCTCCAACTCGAGGTCGGCATGCTCAACGGCGACAACCGGAACTGCTGCAAAAGACCTGAGCTCATTGTCAAATATTGCTCTGGCTTCGTTTGCGAGTCCTGACATCTTGAGCTAGATGGCACGCTCGAGCTGTTTGACGGCCTCCGAGGGCAATGAGCTGTATAGGGAGGTATATATCCCCCAGTAGTGAGGAGATATTGACATCTCACTCACCTGTTCCAATGGTACATCCATTTTGAAGGTTTGACTTTTGAGTAATGTTCGAAACGCTTAATTCGGATCAGAGCAAGCGAGAACGGTGTATAAGATAAGAATCGAGGTAATGCTTTGAGTACTTGTGTCGACTCTTACAACAAGGCCCTAGCAATCGTATTATATTATCCCTTCCGTACTATCTCTCCCCGTCGCTTACTTTCCGGTTTGCAGCTTTGTCTAACGTCCGCTTTTTCAGCTCGTTTCAGCTTCGTTCGAATTTGGGAGTTGAGGGGAAGTCACATTGTTCCTATTGGACGGTATCAATCAATAGCGTCCAGTGTGATGCGCGAGATAAAGCAATGAATGTGCAGGACAAGGATGTGCAGGACGACTTAGATTTCGCGAGATACGTTGCAGTCGCTTTTACGCGCCGGTGGCGTGAGGGTCTAGATTCAGGAGTCGGATTCTAGAGCGCGCAATGAAACGTTGTGTTGCAGTGAGGCTGAGTGCTTATAGTATATATTTTGGGGTATGCGTGTTGATTCAACACCAGATTCCACGGCTGATGCTATGCGAACCTGAAGACATTTTATGTTCAGTAATATTGTTCAACATACACCAGCCCTTTGCCCAAGAACTTCATTCCCACTTACACACAATAAGCGCCTCCATTGGTCTGGGTATAATGGCGGAATTACCTGGCGATTCGAAATCACCAATCCCGTCGTCTGTGTTTGATAGCGACGCTGATGAAACCAAATTCACATCCGCAGTCCTTCTGCCATTGACTGTGTCGATCGATGATGATGGCGCAGGACAGCTCTCAGCACCGCAGACAAACACCCCGGCTGAGCTCTCGGAGCCACGACAGATTATATCGTCTGGAGACTCATCTAAATTCCTCCAAGCTGAGCTTGGGCGACCTGTTTTCGCAGGAACCTACTTCGATGAGCCTGCGTATCTTGTGCAGCTGTGATTGCACTTGTCAATGTCAAGCGGAAATCGAAGCTGGCTCAGTCGTATCCAAACCGTTGATATTCATGTTCTTGTAGAAGATGCACCAAGAGATGATACACAGAACGCTTCAGATGATTCTGATAGCAGTGACAGTGATTACGAAGAGGAGGAATTTCTGCACCCAGCAATCGTCAAGGCATTCCCTAGTCCCAGTGGTTGGGAGGGTACACCACAGTCCGCTGAGGTGACACTCACACACGGAGTCGGCTTGCAAGTAGGCTACACTCCTGCTTCCGCCCCCTACAACATTGGGGAGTCACGCACCTGGACGAAGACCGGAGCCGTCAAGGTCAGGGTAGCACACAAAGGCCCCGGACAGAACAAATTGCATGTCCGGGTTGAAGAGAGCTCCGTGGACGAGGCTGGAGTGCCGAAATACTTGGTAGTACCTTTTATCATCGGCCACCGGTCCCGTCGCTTCCGTATACGTGTCGGTATCCACGCGCGCTTTGGCTTCTGGCGGGGAAAGCTGGCTGAAGTTGTGCCAATTCTCGGTCGTGCTGATGAGCCTTTGTTCTTTGACCCGTTGGTGATGAGCCGGGCTATGGAAAAGGGACGAAGAGGTGTCAACGGGGAGAAGGTCGTTGAGTGGCGCGGTGCGCTGGATAAAGTTGCTCTGCAGGAGTACTCGTCGCTGATTGATAAGAATGCTACTCACGCGTGACAGTAACATACTGCGAAGGGTAGTTTTGAACTTCAAAGCCAGGAAACCAGGGAGATAGCCGCCTCAATAGATGTGTTGTAAGGGCTAGTAAATGAGCCCTGCCTACTAAGTGGTTGGGATTGTAAGTTCATTCAGCCTCGCGATGCTGTGCTGGTCGTCAGGTGGCGATGCTTCAATTCTCAATGTTCATTCCTGGCACTGATGAAATTTGAGATTATATGCTATCCTGGTTGTAAAGTCATCACAGGCCTCGCCTCGTTTGGATATGGTAAAGTACCTAGAGAGGGTCTGAAAGGGAGGAACGCCTTACGTTGACTTGGCAGGTCCAGAATGCATTGCCACTGCATTATTTGATTTTCTTGCTTTTGTAAGTTACCTACCTAGGGTAGAGAGGTAGGTAATGTTGTTGACTCTTTCCCCAATGACCTGCAGAGGAACCGAGAGAGCCTTGCCGTCCAATAACAAGTTGCAGCTGAGAGCCTGATCAGGCTGTGCAAATATGCCATGGGTGATCAGCGATCGAGCTCTACCTATGCCAGCCTTTCAACTCTCCTTCAACACCATCAGAAAGTGAATCATCCGTAGTTTCACCCGATGGCAGAGCTTCTCGGTGTCGTCGCCGGCGGAGCTGGACTTGTTTCTCTGGCACTCCGGTTAGTCGATGGCGGCCAGAGACTGCGGCAGCGCTACAAGAACGCCAAAGGCCTCGGATATAACATCTCATGGCTGAGTGAGGATATTGAGCTGATCGGCAAGCAATTAATCCAACTCGAGGCCAGCGCAGGTAACATTTTGCAAGAGCAGCTTGGCCCGATCATGATGGGGAGATGTCGGGATCGGTCTGCCACTTTGGCAGATCGTTTAGCAAACTTGGCTGGGGACATACCAGGCAACTCGTCCAGAAGACAGATTATACGGATTACGTTCAAGTCAAGTCAATGGAAGAGTGAGCTTGGCGAACTTCAGGCCCTTGTAACTGGCCTCAAGCAAGACATATCACAGTACACTATTCATCCACTTATCGGCAGTGAGCAGTAAAGCTAATTATCAAACCTACAGGCTTTACATTATTCAGCAGCACTTATATATGCGTAAAAGCCAGAATTCGTTGGCTGCAGTGGATAGCACACCTTCGGAAACTTCAATCGTTGCTCTATCAACAGGAACTGCCTCCCCAGATAATAACCTGGACGCTACTACAGCATATCAGCAGGGAATCATTCAGTCTTCGGCATGCAACTGTAGTTGTTCATGTCACAAGAAGTGCACAGCGAGTGGCATGTTCTGGCATCTGCAATACTCTCCACTCGCCGAGATATTTAAACCCTGCAATAACTCGACATGTTCTGCGCAACGCTACCGTCTTGATCTTCGAGTGGCTTTGTATCGCTACGGGATTCCATTGAAAGTAACTCTTGGATTCGATCTTGTCGCCGAACCAGGGCGATATTCTCTTCAACCGTGTCTGCAGATTGAAACTTCCGTTGACTTCGACGCACCTGGGTTTGTGATTCTAGAAAAGCTAGCCCTCGAAGAAATAGACTGGATAACAGCAGAGAACGAGTTAAAAGACCTATATAAGGCTTGCTCTGGATTTGTGAATCAGGTTGATCCATTAGGTCGTGGCTATCTTGAGGATGGTCTCCCTCTACACAAGCTTGGAGTATCGCTAATGTAGACTATAGGTAGCCGCCTGTGGTTTCACGTACAATGATCTCAATATTATGATTACGGCCAAAGTTTTCGTAAGCCTAATCCAGCTATTTGTTGGATCATTCCACACGAAAGAAACGACTCACAGTATGGGGTTAGTTCCACAGCCCTTGAACTAAAACTTTGACACAACGCATTAACACCTCGAAGTCTCCTGAAACAAGTACGTATGATGATGAAGTTCGATTATTATAATGACTCTATGGCTCCTCTTGAAACTCTCGGGTGCGATTTCAAGAACGTTGTGCCGACTTGGGACGCATGGCCGATGCCTTACTCTGCTCTGCCGGATCCTTTCGATTGTCAGTTTATGAAAGTGTTACTTCAAATGAATCCAGGTAAGAGTCTCCTAGGGGGTCCTGATTCTGGACTGTTCTAATAAGATAATTCCCAAGACTTTGGAGACAGCCCTCCACTTCACGCATCTATACTGTTTGAATCAGATGCAAACTTCAAGCTCTGTCTTGAGAGAGCCGCATTACCCTTTGAGAAGATTGTGAATTTTTTGGGTCAGTCAACACTTCATGTGGGCGTCTGCCAGCCTCAGCGCATGGCTCAACTCCTGGCTGCTGGTCATCCAGTTGACCTTTGCGATAAAAACGGCGTGCCCCCGGTGATGTATGCGGCAGCAATGAACATCCCAGACGCAGTCATGATGCTTATAAGACACGGGGCCGACATTTACCCTCGAAAGAAAGACTTAAATATTCTTGGCCTTATCGTCAAAGGAGGCAACTGGGACTTGATATGGCAGATTCTGGACCTTGCGGCGGAAATGGACCCCGATCTGATACCGGAGCTGTTCAGAAGCTTCCTATCCAGCCTCCATAACAAGGAGTACGAAGCCTGCTATGCTGCACATGGTCCTGGTGGTCAGGATGGCTGTATCAACTTTTGGTCCCGGGTAATCTCCAAGCTTGGTAGTCCTAACTTCACCTTTGACGATGGCACTACATTGATGCACATGACCACTGATTCTAAGTCTGCGAGGGCTCTGATCGATCTAGGCTTTGAGAATTTCACTCAAGAGCAAGGGGATTTGCTTGAACATATCGCTTCGTTGCATGATCCCTCGCTGCTCCAGTTTGCTGTTGCGAATGGTGGCGACGTACATGTGCGCAATTTCTGGGGTGGTTTGATCGTTGATGCGCTTCTCTATGACCTTGTCGCGTGCAACTGGAAAGATTTCCCGACCATCTGGAAGACTCTACAGGTTCTAGTCGACAAAGAAGTTTCAATCTTGTCTCCGCATGGACACGTGAGAAATTTTACGGCTGCCGACTGTACGCAGAGTCTGAGATGGGAACTCGACAGATCAAATATATGGCTCTTGGCGTGGCTTGAGATGTTAGAGAATAAGAGGACTGTAGAAAAGGCCAAAGAAGTATCCCTGGCTGCTCTTCGAGAAATGTCCCTTGATGAAGCTGGTCTACATCACAAACACTGCGCAATTTGTAAGTATGACCTGGGCCCTGATATCGACAACGACCGATTTTGGGATATCACGGAGGAGATCAAGATTGATGAACTGAACCGAGCGATGGAATTGCTGGCGGAGAAGACATACCCAGAATTAAAGATGGAGGTCATGGTGCGTCTTCGTTGCCAGTGGAGGAAAAGAACCATGGAATTATTGCCTTGGCCTAGGCTTAACCCCCGAATCAGAGAGTTTCATCGAAACCGTGTGGTGGAGGAGTTAAATGAATTATTGAAGGTCATTCGAGTAAGTGTTTTCCACAGCTAACTAAACCTTTCCAAGCCATGCATTTTAACGGAATATCCATAGACATCGGAACATCCCAAGATTCCAGAACCATTTTTGTCTTCTTGGAATGGCATTGTTCGGAAGAAACTGGATTCTGGTCATTGGAACTTCGACTATGATATCGAATTAGGCCTGGTTAAGTTTGGGATTGGTCTCTACCAATGCGGCGGTGATCAGTTTGAGAGCTGGCTTCCACTACTGACTCAGATGACGGATGTCCTGCTTGCCGAAGAGAAGCCAGGGGCACCGAAGCCTTGATCGTCTTAGTCAAGCCGGTGGGAGTATCTTCAACAAAGATAGGTTTATATAGTGGGCAGTGGTGAGCACTACAAGATTACGGACGATATTTACTTTGAAGTGATCTACTATGTACTATACGTAGAGGTTCAACCTCGTGGCACTTTTTGGTGTGAACCTAAAAGACAAGGCTCTCCTGGCAACTTGTACGGCTCTTTGTAATTCATATCCCCGTGACGGTCCCTAGATGTTAAATGAATAATCAAGATCGACAACGGAATCAAATAACATCCGGTGCCGGTCTATCTAATGAGAGGTTAAGAAGGATGGAAAATTGGGGTGATTATTCTTAGGACCGTCAGGGATGGGAATCTGTTCGCGGCCATATATGCACTGTTTGTTAGGAGGCCAAAAGAACTTCAGACTTTTATCTCAAATGGTAGAAATAACCAAGCTAAAGGTCTCCTAAGGCTTTACCAAATTTGCCTAAATATCTTTATCACTCAGGATTGAGATTCTGGGGTTTCTGGCTCATTGGGTACACGTATACGTAGAGGAGAGTCCCCTTTATCAGTAGAGATACAACAGAAACTGGAGCCTCTACTACACTGACATAGTCCACGGAATGTGTTGCCTCTATATTAATGCATGGAAGTGTGCTGTCTCTATTCTCGCTGTAGTTCGAGGAATGGCTAAGCAGCTTCCATGTCAATTGAAGCCGGGTCGTCGGAGGATGGCCCCGGAGGTTCGGTCAGAGTCCAACAATTTGGGTCTTTCATCGCATCACCGAAGCATCACGAAATGTCTGATGGATTAAAATATGCCACATGTGATATTTTGAGCTAATAACGTCACAATGTTGCAGCTGCATACCGATCGATGTAACCCATTTTCCATAATCAGTGGCTTCCGTTGAAATGCCAAATGTCCGGGAGCATATCCCCGACTCCGTGTAAAAAGCGAGCGGGGAATTCAAGGACCGGGATCCACCAACTTGCAATTCGTGTTTGACTTGACACTGAAAGTCGCAAATTAGTACCAGAATCATGCATTGACAACTGATATGTTACTTGCGGTCTCGGGGCAATTGATAGCATTCTTACCCGGAGGTAGACATTCTCATTGTGACCCCGCGGACTGTGCACGGAGAAGCTGCGTCAACTTATCAATCTCATGTTGGCCTTATCAGATGGAAAAAAGCCATGCACGTTGACAAATCATTTCCAGCGCCGGTTCGCCAACGCCGATGTCGCCGGGTTTGCACCGAAGTTCACAACTTCATTAACTATCAGCATCTTTTCATTTGGCCAGTAATAAATCGATCTGCACTTTAGGGTTGAGACTACAGTGTCTGTACGGAGGGGAATACCGATGGACCGCTTGAAGGATCAAGAATCAAACGGATAAATTGCCGCTCCATGGTCCATGACGATGTGTGATTCGCCTCGGCATGTCATTAGTAATGAATGTTTTGGCTGGCATCTTATCAGATGCACACTAGTCCGGGTTCCCGGCCACAACCTACACCTAAGCTCTCGGTTTACTCCTCACCTGTGAATCCAATCGGACTGACTTTGCTCCACAACGTTTGATGAGGACGGGAGAGCATGATCAGCAAACGAACAATAAATTGATTAATTAATTAAACAAACAAACAGTAGAATAATAGTATTATCAGTGTTCATGAATGTAAAGTCAGATAAACGTCAATATAAAAAGAAGTGGAAAATAGGCGGGTCTTGAATCTGTGTCTCTCTTCTCCGAGGAGTACCGAGCTAATAAAGACGTAATGGCCGAGCAATCGAAGCTCACTGATTGGCCCTCGTCTGCTCCACACCACCGCAAGCCATTGCCCGAAATCGCCATCTCCTCAAGTCCCGCCCGCAACAAGAGAAGAGCATCTTTTTTTTAGGTAGCCAAACCCCCAGAGTCAATCCTCCCTCCGTCATCGCTTTTCGCCTCCCATTCAACTCAACTCAACTCTTGATCTTTGCATCATATCACTTTCTAATCTTGCATCTTACAACAATCCTGACAACCAAGGACCTACGCACAACCTGATATTCGACGACTTCGATATATCAACCAAAAACCTACAACACATATCACAATGTTCGCTAGAGGAATTCGCGCTGTCTCGCGGCGAGCTGCTGTCGCTGCCCCCCTCGCCCGTCCTACCATCCTCCCTGCCCGCCAGATCTCTCCCGCCGTCGCCGTCAACGCTACTCGCTCCTACCACGAGAAGGTTCTCGACCACTACTCACGACCCCGAAATGTCGGCTCCATGAACAAGAAGGACAGTGATGTCGGAACCGGTCTCGTTGGCGCCCCTGCCTGCGGCGATGTCATGAAGCTCCAGATCCGCGTCGACCCTGAAACCCAGAAGATCTCCGAGGTCAAGTTCAAGACATTCGGATGCGGTTCCGCCATCGCCTCCAGCAGCTATCTCACCGAGCTCGTGCGCGGCATGAGCCTGGACGATGCTGGCAAGGTCAAGAACACTGAGATCGCTAAGGAGCTCTGCTTACCCCCCGTCAAGCGTAAGTTTGCTACTCTGATATCTCGCTTACCGTTTGCTCCATTGCGGTATATTGCGCACTGTGATACTAACTCCGTTTGATAGTGCACTGCTCCATGCTTGCTGAGGATGCTATCAAGTCTGCCATCTCCGATTACTATACCAAGAACCCTAACGCCAAGGTCAGCAACCTTAGTGGTACCGGCATGAAGCTCCCTGAGGCCGATGCCGCTGCTGCTTAAGCGTGATAATTCATCAAGACAATCTCAACATTAAAAAACACGAATATTGCATTGCTTTTACGCCGTGTCACAACACTTGGGAAACTAGGATATGATACCCTCTTTGAGGCAGGATGAAAAAAAGAAAGTCGTTCGGAACATCAACGAAGGAGGGGGAGTCATCTTTGGATCTAGTCTGGAGTAAGATTGTCTGACGCAACACGTCTGACTAGTCTTTCCCTTCTTTATCCGCAACATTCATGTGATCAGTATTTGGGAGTCAGGGGTTCTTTATTTTATTTTCTGCCTGAAATCACTATGGCTGTGATTGGGCTTACCGGGGATGCGGCGAAGAAGGGGCATGTCTACATTGGAGCGGGGTCGGTAGAATGAGATGAACTGTATCAAATAGCTACAAGCGCGAAATGTCAAATGTCTTCATCAGAACAAATTCGTTGCCTCGTGAGTCAGTGAAGATTGATAAGCCGTTATCTAATGGGGTGATAACTCACGGTCTCCGCGGAGATGGACTGTCGTTGTGATGCGGCTCGTGTTATCAATCGTGCAATTTTCAGGGTCCATGTCTCGGTCACCAAAGGATCCTCGCTTCGTGCGCTACCTTAGACAACCTCATTTCTGGAGCCTGATGATCATCATGAGTTCAGTGAGCGCTCACCACGATTAACTGATTAACCTTGTGCTCATCTCCAGATGATCTCTCCATAAACCCAATTCCTAAGACCCTGTCCAATCGGTAGCAAGCGATCCTAGTTCCAATCTCATGATTCACCCTCAAAACTCCTTATCAATCACCCCACCGCAGCATATAAACAACGAAGTCTAATCCTTTACTCGTAAACCGTTTCCCAGTCTCAAATTCGCGTATACAAACCCCTTTCCTTCTAGTACCAGCATCATATGCACTCAATTTAGAAAACGAGATCTCTCATCCCTGCCGCAACTCATGCAAGGTCCAAGTTCTGCTTGAGAAAAAAACCTCCGTAGCGCGTCAGCATCAGGCCATTTTCCACCAAAAAAGTAAAGCCACCGTTGCATTTCGCGGGGTAGCTCGGTCGAATTGAGATGTTATGTTCCGAGGATCTGGGAGAGGGAAATTGAGTGCCTGTGGGGGTTTTCGTATCAAATTTTGGGTTGGTGAGGATTTCGGTGGTGGTGTAAGTGCGGGTTTGAGGTGAAGAACACGATTCAAGGCCGGGGCAGTTCTTGACTGGGTACATCAATGTGCTATTATTTGCTAAGGGGAATAGTCTCTATCTATCAGATCAACCGTCCGCTCTTGGTAAACCCATGTCTATCTATATGCATGCATCGCTCGATTCACAACCTTCGATTAAGCAGCTGGCAAATGAATGCCATGAAATCCCTGTCCAATCGCAAAATCAGCCTCTGCCCTACCCATCTCCTCCATTGTCTTTCCATTCAAGCACAGTATATACGCCGTCTCATTAACTCCATCGACGACCAGACTGAAGATGATACCGTCATCTTCTTCCTCTGCCCCAGGCCTTGGTACAAACACCGGCTCACCAGGGGTATACCCTTCAGGTCCTGTCCATATGAACGCTTCACTGGTGTCCAAATCTGTCTTTACCAGAGCGTCGACTGAGGTTGTCAGACCGCGCAGTGAGGCACTGTAGACATAGCGGTAGGGTTTGCCGGTGCGAAGGGGGTGGATAGTTGGGAGCTCGCCAGCGTGTGGGCTAGGAATGGCGAGGACTTGTTCTGCGCTGGAGGAGAATGTTGTATCTGGCGTTGGTGTTGAGGGTAACCTGAAGCGGTATCTTGTGAGAGTTGGTGCACAGTTCTTGTACCGGTCATTTTTGAACCAGTATTTCTTCGTAGCATCGTCCCGATCCATGAGAACATCGTAGTAGAAGCCCTTGATAATGTCCATATTTTCATACTTGGCCAAATCGAAGAACAGATCTGTCCGCTCAGAGCCATCCTCATCTTTAACCTTTTCCTCAAACGCATTGATGCTGTGGAAGAAGAAAGCAGCGGGTGTCGAGAAAGTAGCGACAAGCCCCTTTCCGTGTCGGCGATCAACGACAAGCCACTTGCATTTCCTCTCCTTATCGAATGGCTTCATTGAATCAATTATGTTGCCCTCCCATTGTGTCTTCAGTCCTCTCCATGCGTAGTGTGATGCCGGTATGCATATCACAACGTGGTTTTCTGTGAGGAAGAAACTGTGCATGTACGCCGGTGGAACGTTGAGATCAGAGATTGTAGCAAGGACCTCTGTTTCGCCTGAAGCAGCGTCAACTCGGAAGATTCGATATGTTGGGACGCGGCCGAATGCAAGGTTGAAGTTGAAAAGGTCTCCTGAGTCGGGGTCGCGTTGGGCGTGAGAGCAGGAACAGGGACCACTGAGAGAGGGGTGAAGATCGTATTGTGTGGTCTCGCCCAGGGGCTGAAGAGTTGAAGGATCGATGCGGCGTATTCCAGTGTAGTCTGTAGAAACAAACAAATTGCCCGTGTTCACTCGATGCCCAAGAGGTCCTGTCACTCCATTCGACACCTCCTTCGTCTTGTCATCCTTTGGCACACCGGGAACATTCGACAAAAGCGCAACATTATGATTCCCCAACTTTGGTTCAAAAACAGTCATGACCTTGGCAAATATCCCAACACAAGGATCAGCTTTCTGTCCAAACGTCATTCCTGATCGCCATCCTTTCTTCTTCACATCAGCAATCCACTCATCAGCCTGTCGTCTTGACGAGTACCACACTTGCGTCTCGCCATCTTCGGAGGGGATGATGTCAAAGCGATGAGTTTGTGCAAAGCCGTCAAACCAATGAGTTGTGAAGTGTGTGCCGCGGGCTGTGTCTTCAACGCGACTTTGGCCAGGACCAGTGCGATATAGAGAACCAGCGGCCCATGAGGGGATGGTGCCTTTGAGAGTTAGGCGGAGAGGACCGCGATGTTCTTCTAGACGATCGAACTAAACAAGTGAGCTTTAGTAGTCAGACCAGAGAGTGAAGAACTTACGGCGGCTTCGTTGGGCCATGATTTCCATGATTCGGCGAGGATGTTCGTGGTGATGTTGGAGGCGTCTTCTTGTTCGTGCTCTCGGGTGCGGCGATAGACACCCGGGCCGTTGAGCGCCATATCAAAGTTTGTTTGCGAAAATATCTAATAATAAGTGAGAAACAGTTGCTTTCGTCTCGTTTGCGATAGTATCGTTTGGCTTCTGGGGAAACAAAGATGCAAGAACAGGAGGCATGCTCTAAAGATAGGATATGTGTCTATGAAACAAGCGTGAAATGAAATTCAGCTCATGTGCCAAGTGAGAAATAAAGCGTCGGCTCTATACAAACACAACACAGTGCACCCTGTTGTCTGTTGCCTGTGTGTGTGTGTGTGTGTGTGTGTGTGTTTGCAACGCAATGCAGTGTTAGCACCGACGATGAACCTGCAAGTCAAGATAACCACTTTAAAGCTTCACTGTCGTCATTCAACTTCAGAACAATAAGACACAGCTCTTTACAAACCGCATCATGGTAATAGGGTATTTTTTAATATGGATCATCAAAGCTATTAAGTACAAAAACCCGCCCGTTGTACTCCCAGGCAAGGGCTGTGTAAAGTCAATGACGCTACCATCAGAAAACGAAACCGGATTCCGCGCAAGAAAACGAAATACCAAGCAAGCCCCGACACTTCCGCCTCGAAGAAATCACCACAAAACAACTCATCCTTGAGATGTCGGCACCCGAAGCTGAAGCTGAGGGAGGTTGTTGATTCCATCTACGTTACCTACATAACTCACTAAGTTAGTGGCTCAATACTTTGTGCGCCTTCGCGTGTGCGGTATTGTTCCGCTCGTCGCTTGCGGGGCCTATCAAACGGCTGAAGACGACGAGGGAAGGATTGTTAGTTTGGACGTTGGCGTTTAAGGGGATGCATCTTGCGTGTACTTGCGATACTGCGTTAGCGAAAGCGAGTATGGCTTGACGAGAATGTGCTTCGTTGGCATGGGCATCGTTGAGTTCTTGTTGTACGGCAGGCGGGGGGGTTGACGACTCGAGATTCCAGTGTGTGACTCTTGGTTGGATCCTGGCGTTTATTGGCTTGTTGTGCTAAATTTATTAGAGTAGGTAGGCTATTAGATTCCGAGGTCGTACATACATACTTACTATCAGGCGGTGATGGTGTATTGGCCATGTCCTGGGATATCGATGTCGGTGAATGAGGTCGGTCTTGACGGATACCTGTCCTGGTCGATATAAAGACACTGGCCCTATTGGATGAGAGAGAACATATATGCATGATGAGTTATTCTCCTGGAATCGACAAAATTGACAGAACTACGGATCTCATAAATACCAACCTTTTCATCTAACTAAACACCAAGCAAATCATGCATAAAGGTTAGATGACTTGCAAGGTATTGGATGTTTGCTTCATGGCTGACTCCATTCTCTTTACGTTGTCTTGGCAAGCAATCAATATTGATACCATGGTTTCACTAATTGCTTCCATGAAAACATTGGCAGAACATTGAAGCTAGACTCATGTTGAGTAAGGTATTCTGTTGTTGAAGGCATCCAATGTGATGCTGGAACCAAACATTTGGGCGGCGGGGGGCTTGTTAGTGGCTCACCCACTGAATCTGTACTGAACCTAGTGGACACCCTTCTGAGCGTCTATCTCTTTACACGTGATTGGCCAAGCATCATCAACATCAATAATTCATCAATATCAACTGTTATCACGGTTATCAGAATCAAAGATACAAGAATCTCACCATGTCATCTCGTCCAACAGCACCGACGATCCCGTCGGTGAAGCAGGCTTTCATCACCAGCCAAACAACCCTTCTTTCTCAGCCCCTCGCTCCATCCCGCTCATGGCAAGAAACCAACGACGCGTCAGATGAGGCTATCCCCGACCGCGTCGTTCAAGAAGTCCTCTATAATCTCAACCACACTATTCAACAGCATTGCCGTCGCGTGTACCCTCCGCAGGCTAGTCGCAGTATTGCTGAGCAGATCAATGATGTCTACACTAAGGATGCTGAGCGGAAGGTGGGGGGTCCAACTGATACTGAGGGCGGTATCGGCAGAGAGCTTGACTTGAGTGAGTACCTCAATATCAGATACGAGAACTTTGGACTGACTTTAGTAGCCGAAGATGAAGCTATAGAAGCGTTGCCCGCTTCCTGGCACTTGGAAAAAGACATCAACGACCATCCCATGGAAACTAAGCGGTATGCAGACGCTGTCCAGCAACTCACTGAACTCAACGACCAGCGCAAGCAACTTCGAGAGCAAGTCGCACGCTTAAAGCGCCTTCAATCTATAGTTGAGCCACTTCAGACAGATGAAAATGGTGCCGGTATTCAAGAGAACTTACTCACTCGCAATGGCCCGGTTGAGAAGGAGCTCGAGAGAATGAGACTCTTGTTGGCCAGAGTTGGTGGCCGTGTGCTTTCGCTGCCTGAGGAAGCTCCGAATGGTGAGGCTAAGGAAGTCAGTTTGACTGAGATGGGTGCACAAGGACGGAAGAGACGTGTTGATCAGTTTCTTGCTGATAACAAAGTGTTTCCCTCATGAACGCGCATTGAGAATGGGTTACAATGAGACGCCAAAATCTCTCAGTCCAGTGGCAGGCCACAACCGGCTTTCCTCACAACGCGAGGCTGTGGGCGATCTGCATCCCACAAAACATGTCACTTGTCCACTGTCTCGCACATCGTGTTTTCGGGTTCGGTCGGTCATCGCCGTCTGAAGTGATGCCAGATGCTTCACGGGAAGGTGGGCTTATTACACGCGCAAGAGCTAGGTCAAGCAAGGTCTACCCAATATGAGAGGAGCGAACCCTAGCTATGGGCTATTTTCCACATCTGCCATCGGTTCAAGACCGCTATTGAACGTCCGGGGCAGTGAGTGGAGGTCCGACTTGAATTGCGACAGCCGAGAGTGCACAGTCAGCGCTTACCATCAAGGGGGATGCTCCAACCAGTCTTCGAAACATCTCATGTATGTGTAAACGACTGGTTGGTGGACAAGGGGAATAACATCACCGAGGCTCAATGTCCAAGAAATAGTCAACCATAGTGCCTGAAGGATTGTTCTTTAGACACACTTCTCGCTTATGGTGATGATCAAGATGTTTGGTGGCATTTCTAGTTGGTGAGACCTACAAACAGTAATGGTCCAAGCCATTGACATAATTGTAGTCATATATCGAGCTTCAACGACGGTCAGCGTCAATAATTAAGAATTTGGTGCTCTTGCTACGGAGCAGTCACTGATCTCTTAGCTTATGTACCACCAACGGCCTCACTGCCGAGGCTAGCAGAGGATCTCTGTTCCCAATCTGGCACTGAATTGTCTCTCTGGTACGGTTTACAGTGATATATCCCAATGAATTGTGCCCTGTGCTACCCTTGACTCACACATTAGCCTAAGCTTTCATCTCGCGTACACATGTAGGCAATGCGTGAGACACTGTTTAGCCTTGCTGCGTCACTACTCTCGTCGGTAGCGAATCATAGGAGCTATCCATTCAGAGTCCTTGTCAGTCAAGTGCTCTTTCTGCGTCGTCTGCCATACGATATCGTGCCCAGTTGAAGGATTGGCCGTGGTCGAATACCCGAGAGTGCACAGGCTCAAGAGAGAACCAACACAGACGTCTAGTTCTAACCAATCAACGTTCTGACGAATCTAAAGGATATCTTGATGTGTATCAGTGGCTTGATGGCGATCTATTGTGCAGCGTTTGTGTGAGAAACCACCAGTTACTCATCACACAATGGCGCCGTCGATCATCAATGATTTGGTCGAAACACTGTAGATTGGGAATACATTGAGCCAGTGTCCGTTAGATATCGATAGTGAATCTACGAATCCTGCGAGAGGAGGTATGGCGGCCTTCGTGCTCGGTCATAAATACCGGCGCGAGGGTAGGTTGGACACGGGACATCTTACTACCTATACACTCCTTCTTACACACACATATATATAACTTCATCAACATGGACTCCAACAAGCCTCAAACTCAACCTTATTCTACCCGCTTACAGCGTATATACCGTGCCTTTGGCTTCGCCAAGGGGTACAACTTTGTTCTTTGGTTCCTCTTCGGCGGAGCTTTTCTTGCTTTTACACTATCTCGTTTTATATATCTCGACTTTGACGGACGACTATGTCCTGCTGAGCCACCTACGAACCGACCATACGGTTCAAGAGGAGCTGTTCCTGGAGAATGCTACTATTACCGACGTGGTGTTGGCAAGGCTGGTATAATCATGCATCTTGCTGGCATACTCCCAGCAGCTGTCCTGGTGGTGTTTCAGTTTCTACCAGTTATTCGACATAGAGCCCTCCTCGTTCATCGAATAAATGGCTATATCGTTCTCTTGCTGTCAACAGTCGCAATGATTGGAGTCTTTATGATCGCCAGACACACTTTTGGCGGCACATTGGAAATGCAGACTGTCACTGGTGCTGCGAGCATCTTGTTTGTTACGTGCATGCTATTGTCTTATATCAATATCAAGAAGCTCCAACTTGAGCAACATCGAGCGTGGATGATCCGTGGGTGGATTATCGTGAGTAATCATATAGAGCTACAATAAGTGACTTGCTAACACTTGACAGGCCGCTCATGTCGTCACCATGAGGCTCATCGGGATTATAATGGCCCAGATTACCAGCCGGATGGATCCTTACTATACTACTACACCATGTGCAGTCTTGGACTCAATGTTCTACCACAACAAGCCTGCCGTGGAAGCACTATACCCCGAATGCATTGGATTCTATACGGGTGATACTCCAGACCAGCGCGTCATCATCAAGGGAACATCGGGCGGACGACCCGATGAGATTGCAGCCAGTCTCAATAGTGCTTTTGGGGCGAGTGCCTGGCTTGCCCTACTCATTCACATCATCGCTGCGGAGCTGTATCTTCGCCTTACATCTGCCGAGAGTGAGAGATTACGAAAGGTGTCTTATAGGTGGTAGCAGAATGCTGGTATGAAAGATCCGGGCAATGCTGGGTTGACGGCGCAGAGACTTGGGGATGCGGAGCCGTGGGCATGTCCTGATGATGATCAGACTCTTATTGGCGACGGAGAGAGTTTTAGGTGACTGAACAGCACTTCATAGAAAGAGAGAGGACATGATCTCATCACATTTAACTCAGTAGACAATTAATACGAAGCATAAGATGCTATGGACAAGATGAGCGAGTGAATTCTTAGTTCTCATTCAGTCAGAGCATTAGAGGGCTATCCATAGTCCGTTTATCAAATACCAGACCACCAGTATGTCTCGTCGACCTTGAACGAGCCCTTGAGTGCCTTATCGGTCACAGCACTACTATCACTGATAATAACCTCGTACTCACCAGCCTCAACACACCACTTGTCCTTCTCTTCATCAAAGTAAGCAGCAGCGTACTTCTCCAGCTCAGAGATAGTCACCGTCTTGGACTCGCCAGCATCCAGCTCAACCTTGGCAAAGCCCTTGAGCTCCTTGACAGGACGGTTCACCTTGGCAGCTTGCATTGGGCGCACGTAAAGCTGCGCAACTTCTGCACCGCGTACTGAACCTGTGTTTTTTATGATAACGCTTGTGGTGAGCTTGCCATCCTTGCAGGAAACGTTGAGGTCGGAGAAGGCAAAAGTGGTGTATGAGAGACCGTGGCCGAAGGGGAAGTTGACTTCACGGTCGGCAAACTCATAGTATCGATATCCCATGTAGACATCCTCACCATAAAGTGTTCGCCCGGCTTCAGTTCGGAAATTAAGGAATGCTGGGACATCGGTTAAGCGCTTGGGGAAGCTCAGGGATAGCTTGCCAGATGGGTTTGCATCGCCGAAGAGAATGTCCGCAATGCAGTTACCCGTCTCGTTACCACCATACCACGCCTGGATCACAGCAGGGACTTCATCCAGCCAGGGCATCTCCTCCGGCGTGCCAGTCTGCATAACAACAGCCGTCTGCGGATTCGCGGCTGCGACAGCGGAAATGAGTTCATCCAGAGCTCCGGGAAGCTTCATGCTCTCACGGTCGGAGCCCTCCGTCTCCCAGTCCGAGTTGAGACCAGCACAAATAATGACCTGATCATGCTCCTTAGCGAGAGCGACAGATCGCTCGATTTCCTGCTTCGCATCGATCACCTTTGATGCGCCGACGCGAAGAGACCCGTGGCCGACGACGGGGTTGTCCAGCTTGAGGGTGAAGCTTGGGGCCGAGGCAAACTCAATTCTGATCTTATACTTCTCGCCCTTCTTTAGGTCTTTGCGACCGAGCTCTTCCCGTGTAGCTGTGCCGAAGAATGCGTCGCCGGCGATTTGCTTGGTCGAGTTATCGACGACAAGCTCGTCGTTGACGTAGAGGTTGGCAGTTCCGCAAACGATGACGCCAAACTCGTACGTGGAATCCTCATCGACTTCTAGAACGCCTTCTAGGTTTGCGAACCAGAGATCCTCGAGCTCAGAGTTGTAGTAGTCTACGAGGTGCATTTCCGACTTGGCGAGCCACAGCTCGTCGACGGGCTTGCGGGATGAGTCGCTCGGTGGCTTGTTGTACACCTTCCAGCTCATACCAGCCTTTCCGTCCTCACCCTTAGTCTGGCTTCCCAGTAGAGGGCTCAGCTTATGTGTGTATGCGCCGATAGTGTAAGCGGGCTGGCTACCGAGCTTTTCGGCGATGCCATCGTAGGGTGTCACAGCGTAGTAGGCAGCTAGAGAGGCAGAGCCACCGCCGTGATAAGTCGCAACCTTGGCGTTGGGTCCAATGACCAATGTCTTCTTATCCTTTGCCAACGGAAGTAGGCTCTTCTCATTCTTGAGGAGAACGATACTCTCGTTTCCTATCTTGCGGAGAAGAGCGGCTGTCTCGGGGGTATCGAGTGTCTTCTCAGGGCCGTTTTCCTTGACACCAGAGGCAGCGCACTTCTTGACAAACTTGAGGACCTCTCGGGCGCGGTCATCAATAACATGACCCCAAACCTTCTCACAAGCAGCTGCAAAGTTGAGGACGTCGCCTCGCCAGCGAGTAGGTCCAGGCATCTCAAGATCAAGGCCAGCCTTGATGGCGTCCGTGACGCTGTATGTGCCGTACCAATCACTCATAATCAGACCCTCCCAACCCCATTCTTCGCGCAACATGTCGTTCAGAAGCTTCTTGCTCTCGCTGCAAGAAGTTCCGTTGACACCGTTGTAAGAAGTCATGAACGCACCCGGCTGTGAGTCTCTCACAACCAGCTGGAAGGGAAGAGCGTAGATCTCACGGAGTGCACGCTCTGTGATGATAGCCTGGACGCTCATGCGCTTGTGTTCTTGGTCGTTGCATACGAAATGCTTGATTGTTGATTGAACACCTGTGCTCTGGATTCCGCGAACAAGCGCAGCTGCACCCAGACCAGCGAGAAAGGGGTCCTCGCCTATAGACTCGAAACCACGTCCTCCAAGAGGCGAACGTTGCATGTTGATGGTAGGGCCGAGGATGACATGAGCACTCTTTCCAATTGCCTCTTCGCCCATCTTCTTTCCTGCTTCTTCAAGTAATTCTTGGTTGAAGGTTGCACCGAGACCGGTACCGCAGGGAAAGCATGCTGCCGGGATTCCATTGAAGAATCTGGTGCCTCTTACACCGTTGGGGCCATCTGATAAGCGGAGAGATGGGACGCCATACTCTGGGAGTGCCTTTGTATGCCAGAAGTCAATTCCTGGGGAAATGTTAGCTGCTGCTGTTTCCATCATGTGATGCTACTGACCTGCAAGAAGAGAGACCTTCTCAGCGAGAGACAACTTCTTGAGGACCTCTTCGACGTTAATATCAGCCATTCTGGTCACTTCCCAAGAGGCTTATTCACGGGAGACGCAAGAATGAAGAGAAAATAAGTCAATTGGCAGGAATCAGCTCCTCTAGTCGACAGATAAATACTCGCGCCATGAACAAGCTGGAGAACCTGCCTGGGTAAATAACAACCCCGCAGCAACTCGTGTCTCTATTCTGCCTGATACATATGCATCCGTCGGGTGAGAAGAGAGCTCACTCTCCTCTATCATTTGTCAATCGACCATACCAGTTCGTTCTCATGATACCAGATGAGCATCTAGTTGGTGGTGAAGCCCCACGGATGATGAGCTTCTGGACTCTACCCGTGGATTAACCGACAATTTCCTCCAATCATAGAGCGTATCGACAGAAACTCATTTCAGGTTATCGCTTCGTCGGGACGAAATTCCGTCTCGTAAACTTCGGACAGAAACAACACGAAGCGCGGGGTTAAGCGTATTGCGTCTTCAATAATCATGAGATACGTGATGCCAGAGTTGAACCGATGGAAGGAATCGAACAAATTGATCATGTGAAGAGTCACGTGGAGACAATTTAGAAAGTTTGTGGAAGGTGGGAACTACACGGTTCTTCACCTCGGCAGGGGCAATTCTCACGTCGATCAATACCCGAGATTTCCACCTCTCAAACTCGGATTAACAAAGGAATCCTGATGAATCCGATACCGAAGATCGGGCTCTTTCCGATGGATCCTTCAAGATCCAACTACTTACTTTACGGGTACTTTTCAAGCTTACTACCAACAAATTGAACGGGCCGAGATTTAGCAGCAAACAAAGAGATACTGGCCAAGACCCGATCACTAACCGGCAAAATGAACCAACATGTTTGCTTTGTCTCGCTCCCAAGTCCATGGTATCGTCGCCGCCCCAAGGCCCAGGTACGAACGGAGGGGTGGTGGTCCCGCTCGAGTCTAATCGTAGCAGGTCCACACAGAGCCTTCGACAGAAGAACCACGGGAGATGAGAGCTTTGGGAATAGCTCCAGTCTTGTCCGTTCCGATGAAATTCCGAACAAGACGGCGTCGATGGCACCCGGCCCGAACTATTCGGACTCGGGCCGGATGATATCCGGTCCCACGGAGGATTCACACGGCGAGACCGTCGACCACGCTATGTATGACGAGTAAATGGTGGCAGATGACGAAGAAACTTCTTCAGCCATCATCATACACGACAATCGAATTCTCATCATCAATCTCGATTGCTTCTCGATTATCTTGACTAACTATCACGTATTTTGTAGATCGAATTGTCATCATGATCCGTACGAAATGCCAAGACTCGTGCTTCACTTCATTCACGTGCACCCAGCACCATTACTACGTTGTGCAACCCGGATCAGACCAGCCGTGGCAGAGTTTTGGGTTCCTGTTTCCTGGGACTAGGCTGAGTCCAGATCATCCCGCGGCATTCACTAACGTGGAAATAAAACCTTGGTTTTGCTTTCAACTTGCAGGATGGATACCCTGGATCAAACCAAGTACCGGTCTCAATCTCATGATTACTCGGCTTTATTTCCGACGGTGACGCATCATAGTTTCAGGGACGGTAATACTGACGACTAACACGACAAACCTTCTCGCAAAACCACCAATGGACGGATGCCATGCCTGCCGCGACAGAGTTAAATTACTACCGCCATTTGCGCTACAAGCGGCATTTGTTGCGCTTGTGGTTGCCTGCTGTTACCCAGGTACCAATGGTATCAAGACTTCGTTTGACTCTTGTCATGAATATAAAGTTTGAAGCAAACAGATGACTCTGTAGAGCATCACGGGTGTGCATAAACAGCAACACTCTATCACGAATTGCTCACTCGATTTGATCTCGCGTCGTACTAGGGTTGCTGTTCGCTGGGGTTCGTTGTCGAAGATCAAACCTGGCCGGGCCTTGAGGATCTCTGGTCTAAAGTGACATGCATAGCTGGAAAGTGAGGCCTAGGGGTCTGCGACGAAATGACGGCAACGGTCTCTAGGCTAATGTTGCAGTTGATGGCTAGGGGTGTTCTGCCACCAATAGGCTGCCTTCATACACGCTTTTGGCGCTGTCCCACGAGGGTGGCATGCGGACCGCCTTGTGGGATCGAAAGTATGTTTGCATGCATCCGTGACCCCAACGTCTTGCACGTTTCTTGGGCCTGAGTGCCGGCGTTTAGTGACAAGACTAGTTATCAATAAGTGAAAGGGTCTGAAATTAGGAAAACGAGCAAGAGGAGAACGAATTCGAGATTTTAAAGCGGGTCATGGAATGAAGTTATGGAGCTTGGATATCGGCATCTCTCTTCCCCGAAGTAACCCCTGCTCAAATCATCGACGGCTCCCGTTGATTTGACATCGGTCGTCGAGACCCACGATAAAGTCCCACAAGGCCACCGAATAGCTCTCGAGTCCGGTGTTGCTCGCGACCGAGTCCGTCCCACGCCAAGAACCTTTGGTCGAAGCCATAGACCGTGAATGGACTTGATTGATCATTATCCCGCTAATAACGATTGGCGGCGAGAGCTTCATATTCGAGGATTACATAGACTACCGAAAGAACCTCAATTGGCGGGTTGCAGTCGGAGCGCGCTTCCCGGTATTCGGACACTTTGCTCGGTATCTTCAGGCCCAATCACCGATAGAGGTGCTCTGAACGGGGAGACTGGGAATGAAACGGCCAGCACCACCAACCCGTCTTTGATCAAGGCTGAGCTCCAAGCTCACAGAGCACAAGCTCCTTCCTGTCTCTGTAAGCCTCACGGAAGCCAGGTTTCAGCCACAGCTGAATGAGCAAAGCATAATGAGGATAGGCTCAGTCGCTCGGGTTACAGCCAGTTGGGTTTCTTACCGCGTTGACGATGATCTTCACAGACATGCATTCTTGTTGGTCATGGAATACGGTACTTGAGTACTTCAGACCGCTTCCAGAATTGATACGACAGTCCACCAAGTCACACATGTGTGAAAGCTCGTGTTTCCTGTCCAATCCCGGCTCACCAGAATGAAGCCCTCCAACTCATGGGTTTCATTGCTGGCATGCTTATCATTGCAACACTTTCAAGGAACCTTGCATATCTTACAGGCAATAGCGCATACAATCATCTCACGGAGGGGGAAAATCTCATCCTTACGGCCGAAGAACATTGCAAAAGGACTATGGCACATGTCTTGGCGGTTCATCCGTTTGGTCCTTGGAAAGATCACTGCCAAGACTGATCCTCGAGGCTGCAAGGTGAGACAGTCTCCCAGCACAAATTCATACCGTTGGGTACCCGCTTCGAAGAACGTCATCAGCCACATAGTTTTATCCTCACCGTCACGGTGTGTGAGAATACATATGATTGTGGACGCCTCATCCGAGGTGCTTACTGAATACAGAACAAGATGAAAGTCAAATTGGTGTACGGAAACCAAGATGAGGGCAAATGGAAGCTTCTGTACGTTCGGTCCAGCCCTGCCGCGCACGCGTATCACCACGTCCACATGGCTTGCCGCTGTGCAAGCAACAGCCGTCAAACTCTGTCGGTCTAAGGTCCCGCGGGTATCTTTTGGCAGATGAGATGGAGACACGGAGGATTTTTGACACACGAGTATCGAGTACTTGAGATACTTTGTCCTTGGCCCCCTTTTTTTACATTCGAGCGACCCCATTATATCGCATGGTTGGCGCCTCGCCACGTGCCTGGTAGCAGTGAGGGCGTGCATCAAAGAATTCAGATGCTGCAAGAACAAACTCTATTGTCTTCTGCACTTGGTTCGAGAAGAACCTTGTCGTCAGCCACACTCAGCCACAACAAGTACATATATAGTATTTTATGATGAGTGATTGATAAAGCATCGAAGCTTTTACGTATGAGATATTAACGGAGGATGCGACGCTTCCTCGGGCCTCTTGAACGAAAGCGGCGGATTCTCCTTTCATTGAGTAATGAGTACTCCTTACGGCAGTCAGTCTCTTTTCCTGCAGCCATTACTGTCTGTGCAACGCAGGGGGTCTTCTACAGACTCTGCTTGTGTCTCCTGTCAGTTCAGTCCCTTGAGGCCCCATCCATGCTTGCCTCGTGGTTTTTAGGTACCCAGATGGAGCTAACTGATCTGGTCTCTTAGTTCTTCTCAGAAAGGGCGATGGGAAGTTGGGAGATCCACTTGCGTCCAAACCTCATCTCGACTCGCAAATCGTGCCGCTACTCAACTAATCCCTGGCTTGAGGCCTAATTGAAGATCATGGGCCCAATGGATATCCGGCTCATACGTCTTGGCGCAGCCATTCACACGGTTGTTTCTTTTCCTGACTACACATCCCTTCACCGTCTAGCAATTTTAAGCAGCAGCGCATGAGTTATATGCCGAGACGTTATTTGCTGATGGATTGATTGAGATACTCTAGGGCCCCTACTAGCGTTATGATCTCCCAGATCCCTGTTAGCAAATCCATGCAAGCCACGTCCACTCAGTCTCAGTGTGAGCTGGGGGTCCATGGCGAACGGCCCAGGGGTCGTTGCAAGGCCTGTAATTTACAGCCAGGATCATCCCAACGGCTCGAGGCGGATCGCCATGTTCAATTCTACACCACGATATTAGTCAAATGACTTTCTTATGATGTGCTGGCAACAACAGTGCCGTATCTTTGCATATGACAGTGTACAAAGGACAGTATAAGAATGACGATTAAGCAGCGGTATAGGCGCTTTTCCTGCCCTCGCATTTGCTAGTTCTAAAGGGAAGAATGTCATCATTGCAGAAGACCACCACAGATAATGCGACTCTATACCTACTTGATCGGGGAACCGCAGCAACCCCTGAGTGCGGCAAACCCGATCTTGGGCCTTCAACTCAGGCTTCCCCCTAGCAACGAACGAGCCATGAACGAGCCAACAGGTTGATTTGAGGTTATAATTACGGTGATTAATCTCTACGAACTGTGGCATCTCTCAAGTCAGCCCCAAGAGAATTTGGCTGATATTAGTCCGTTTTGAGCCATGTGTGTCTGTGTGGTCGCATGGTCCACGACAGAAACGGTAACAGGACGGAAATCGACGCTGACGAGGACACCATTAGAGAAGAGATGGAGACAACAGGCTGACGACTTTGTTCGGCAGGACTTCCTCCCATCTTCTTTTGACGTAGCATGTCTCACTGTTCGTTACTCCTGCATGAGGAGCCCCCATCCTGCACTTCCAAGGCGCCCCCTGGGAGCGTCGATAATTCCTCGATCACAGCCAGTAGCACCTCACTTCAACCTCCGACTTTCCATGGAATAGAAGCTGCAGCAACCTTCTAGCGCAAACTCTATGAGCCTACAGAACCCCTTGATTCTGCAACTCTAGCGTCCTCGATAAATTCAGCCTGTCATCTACCGTTATTTGTCTAATAGTTCTCCACATCTCGGACCGCTTCGCCCTCTTCAGTTAGACGAATTTCCTCCAACTCAACGCAACCATCTTCATCTTTCAGTCACGAAGAAACGGCTGTGCAGCAGTTGAAGTTGGAGACAAAGACAGTACGTACAGGACTTTGAAGCGCTTTGGGGGACTGTAGCCTCTTCACCCTCCCTCCCGAATTGCTCTGCATCCACACAACACGTACCGGTGCCATTCTCTCCTGCAGATTGGCCTTGCATTGGCTTCGATCGCCCTTCTGAGCAGTCTTCCAGGCCCCTTCTAGGTTTTCTAGCCCTGGAGCTGATTTGCTCCCTTCCCAGTTGCGGTGTACAGGACAGTACAGTACAGTACAGCACACCGCGGCACAGCACAGCACAACGCATTGTACATTGTGGTGCATCCCACACATCTGGGAGTCTTCACCGCAAACTGGGCGTCAGACGTCAGATGCAGGTCATTGTTGTACATACAGGATCTTGCGGCCTTAAACGATATCGGGGTCTGAATTGCGGTGGAAAATTGAAACAAAACAATTAAATGCCCGCGGTTTGCGTGAAGCAGGACTCAGACTCAGACAGGCCAAGCCACCTACGCAATAAAGCCCTGAGTTGCTCCTGTCAGTGTCTCACGGGACTGTTGCTTCGTTGCACCACTAGGTTGGGAAACGCCTGTGCGTCCCTTTTGCTGGCGAAGTGCATACTCGGAAGGGAAAAGTCGCAGTTCTACAGTATGTACAGTTGGATAAAAACACAGTTCATAAGAGGAGGATAGGCAATCCCCAACTTTCAGTTGGGGGATGTTTAGTGGCCGATCTTCAGTGTCACAAGTTTCACTTCCAACGTCAGTGCAGGCCTGACCTTGAGGCTTCAGGTGGAAGTCAGATGCAGATGCGGAGGGGACTTTTTAGTGCCCATGCCCATTGTTTCCCGCGGGAACAACCCGATCGGCATCTTTTGGGTTTGCCCATCACTGCAAGGTAGTTACTTTTCTTCCTTCGTTCACTTTGAGCCAAGCAATTGCGTGACGAGGCCTCTGTTTCGCCCTCTCCGACCGGCCGACGTCGTCTTCCGATGGTCGGTGGTACAAACTGCCGTTGACGAATCGAGGCTCGAGCCACAATGTTGTACAATCGCTTCTTTGCTTTTGCCTGTTGCTAATCGAGAAAAACGTCCGACGGGAGCACGGAAACAAATAGAGTTTTCGCGAAACATAACGTTTGAGGCTGTTTTTCGCCCTTATTCTTTCTCGGAATCTAGACGGAAGTTCCGCGAATAATGTCCATTACGTAGCTCCGGAGGGCTGAGACTCTGTGTCTCTCGTTGCGCGCGCGCGTGTGTCTGCCTCTCAGCCTCTGTCTGCCCGTCTTTCGGTCTCATATCGAGTGTGTCGGTGTCGGTGTCGGTGTCGGTGTCGCACCGATAGTTAATATGGAAATCACCGTTTTGGGCATACAACACCGTGACGCCACCCCGGCTCTTGAGGAGGGAGACAAGAGAAACGGCACGGCACGGCACAGGACAGGATGGAACATTTACTCTACCTCGGAGCTGTACCTCGGAGCTCTGTCTGTTGGTTCAAGCCTAACCTGAGACTAAACTTTGTGCTTGCGCCCTCGGAATCGCAAAAGTCCATGTTTAGAATACGCATGTGGCCCGTATGAGATTGTGTCAAACAGTCAAGCTGTCATTGCGAGACAAGGGCTATATGGTATGGTATGGATGGGCCACGTGCGTGTCCATGCTGTTTCGCCACGATCTTTTACAAAATTGGAAAAGATTTGGACTTGAGAACGTGGGAGGCAAAAGCAAGTATCTCAAGTCACTGTACTTGGTATTGTTGCGGCTCAATGTTGCGAATTTTCCCTGCTCGAGATCTCCCGCAACCGCAAGGGGCTCGAGCAGTGACATGTGCGATGCAACGCAACTGAGAAATGATATAGTTGTAGTCAAGGTGGACAACTGACGTCTTTGGGCAGGACAAAAGTAAGCTACGCGCGGTGAGTAGCATACTGTACGTATCGGTATCAGGTATGTATATCTGCTCCAAATCTTCAAGGCGGGATACCAACCAACAGCACAGCACAGCACAGCAAACATACATGCCTGTCGTCTGCTGGAACAGCTTTTACCCCTTGGTGCATTATTAGGGGGATAATCAACTAGACCATTAGCAGTATAAGCGCTGGACCGATATCAGATATCCTCTCCCTGGTCCATGGGTTTAACCGTACACTGTAAGTGGGGGACCCTCAGACTGCCCAATGCTCGACACTCCCCTCCCTCTTTTCGGACTAGGAGCCATGAGCCATCTGCGTGACGGGAACATGGCGGTGGAGATGCATTCTCGATGTAACTCTCCTGCGGATGTAGAAGACGCTTACCAGTAAAGAAAAGAGAAGGATAATTTTAAAAGCAACAAAAACAACAACAACACTACATACATACATACATGCAGCACAGTACTGTACAGCAACGTACACACCCTAGTAGATATGGAAATATGCCATCAATTACAGGTCGAAATTGGACAAGGGTCCATACAGGGTTTTGGAATGTCATCGACCATGTAAGCGTATGGGGTAAAATGAAACCAGAGGATTTTCCATCTTGGGGCCCGCCTGCTACCTAGTCAAGAGATAGATGTTCATGGTGTAGGTAGAAGTTGCAATTAAGATCCTTGAGGGCAAGAATTGAGGCCAGAGTGTGAAGAATCCAACGTGTGTATCTTGATTCGTAAAATAAGTACCTAGTAAGAACATGGGTAGTACCATCTCACACCCAGTAATGTATGTCAAAGAAAACCTCTAGAAACAAGAACCCCATATCGCCAATAGTGAATTTCCTTAGATTTGTCCCAATGCTTGTGTGTATGTGTTCCAAATTGCACGCCTCCGTCCCTTTCCTTCCTTGTCCAAGTATACATGTCTAATAACAGTATTGGTTTTCCCCATAATGTAATGTTAACAGTACAACAAGAAGTATAGTATGGCCGTTAGAGATGTTGTGGTGGGGTACTTTGATTCCTCCTCTAAAAGTTTCCTGTCATGTCATGTCATGATGTGTTTTTTTTTTTTTTTTTTTTGAGAAAGATGATGACGATGTAGTAGTAGCAGTGGTAGTTGATAGATAGATAGGTAGGTATGTGTATGTGGATGTGTGGGATGGGGCTGATCGACGTGGGTTGGAGCAGGATAGAGACTTGCCGCGGCGGATAATCCCAGCACACGGTAAGTTTTTGGATCGACATTCTGTGGTGCCGTGTTAACCCACGATGTCATGACATGCCTTTCAGCATGTGATCCATGATACGGGAGTTGAGTCGAATCATGTGAAGTAAAGGTGAGGTAAGGTGAAGAGTCATGTCAAAGTGAAAGGTGTGGTCGATCACCATCAGAGAGACTTGCTACTCTAGAGCCACTAGCCCGCAAAGCTCGGGGTATCTTTGGGCAAAGGTCTCAGCCAGACGCCAGTTGGAACCGTTCATGGCATGGGCCATGAGGGCATCCGTGAGCCCAACGTGGCCCGTCTGCGGATCTGTGACTAGGCCGTCTAGCGGCTGATAAGGCCAATTGACAAGCCGCAGCGCGTCGAAGTAGACCCTTTGAAACTCGTCTGTAGCGTAGAGGTCCTGCCGCTCGATGGCGGCCTCGCGCAGACTGCTCCAAAGGAGCAGATCGAGCCATTGAGGGTGCGGAGTTGTCAGTTGGCGCTCTCGCGGCACGTAGTCTTCGCACAGTCGCACGCGTCTCTCTGGAGTAGGTTGCGCAAGCCAACAGATCATGGTTTGCAGAGGCGCAAAGATGGCGATGCGCTCAGTCAGTCGTGCCATTCCTGCTGTGTCGATGAGGCTGCGGATGAGGTCGGTGATGGGATGAGGTGAGCAGGCGATCTGACCGTGGCTATCATGGCCGCGAAACAGTGAGCGCACGTCTATCTGAGGAGGACCCAGAGTGTGAGCTAGAGACTCTGTGGTGATCATGCGACGGCAGTCCTGGAGGAAGCCGACTAAGAGCTCATCGAAGCGACAGGCCGGCGGAGTGGTGAGAACGGGCCCAGATCCCGGCCAGGATGAGCCCGGTTGGATTTGGCCCTTCAATGGACCGAGGACTGAGCCTGGGGGTAGTAGACGGGATACATGTTCCAAGCGGGCTGCTGCTGTTGAGCCATGTAAGTATGGGACACGGGATGAAGCGAGGGGTTGCTGAGACGGAATCCGGCGTCTAGACACTGAGTGTGATTAGTCTCCTGTCTTGAGAGCGAGAGTGAGATTGCTGGGTGATGCTGAGTGACCGTACCGTGAGAGTCAACATCTTCATACTCCATCTTGATCACATCCTTGTGAGCGTGGCCCACGCTGATGCTGGAGGAGCTTGTGTTGTTTGAGGGCATCAGCGAAGTAGGCACGCTTGTGGGAATGTAGCCGGCGCTGTAGTCGTCGGCAGATGAGGAAGGGCTTGAGACGTTGGAGGGGACGGGGCAGGGGACTGTGCTGGCCCATGACTCGCAGTTGTTAGGGAGGGGGACATATTGCTGTCCATAGTCGGGGATGGGGCTGTAGTCGCCAGAAGGGAAGGGGGAGCCGCGAGGGCTGGGGATGGCACCGCTGCCTGTGCTGAGGTTATCATCGTATACTGAGGGGCTGGTCAGAATGCTGTTGTGCGGTGACGAGGACGTCGGGATGGAGACTGAGAGAGCCGTACCAGGTGCAGAGTAAGGCGACGAGGTCATTGAGACGCCCATGTTCTCCTTGAGTCGCATGAGCTCCTCCTCGAGCGCCTGGTTCCGTCGCAGAAGCTCCTGGACTGTCTGATCACGGCTCTGCTTGCTCTTGAGGTCCTCCAGCTCGCGCTCCAGGCGGTCAATGTGCTCCTTGGTTCGCGCCCGGATAGCTCTTTGAGCCTCTCGGTCGTTGGCTCTCTTGCGCGCGAGTTGTGAAGGTGTGAGGGTAGAGACGCTTCGTGTGCCTGTTGTTGTTGCGTGTCAGTTAGTGTTGATCATGGATGGGTATGTATGTATATAAATCGAATTGACTTTGCTGCTAGGGCGCGATGTATGCAAGTGTATGTGTGTTTTTTTTGCTTTTTCTGTCTCGCGTAGCTGGTTAGGTTTTTGTTTACTTACCCTTTCGCTTAGAGCTCTTTGCGGGCTCGGCTGATGATGAGCGGACCATGTTGTCGGTGGTGTTGTTTTGTGAGGAGTAGGAGATTGTGTGAGAGTCTGGTGAAGAAGAGCAAGGCATGGATGACGGTGACGAGGTGGGCGATGCGATCATGTCAAGTCTAGTCGAGTCGAGCTGAGTTGAGTTGACAAGATAGAGAGAGTGTATGTGGATGTGAAGTGGGTATATATATAGAAGGCCAAGACTTGTATGTGACGGATATGTTATACAAGTATGAAGGATGAAACCTCAAGTCAAGGTGAGGTGAGGATAGGAAGGGTCCCTGGATGGTGTATATATGTAAGTGAGGTGAGGTGAGGTGAGGTGAGGTGTGGTGAATGGGTTTGAGTTAGGATGAGATGAGATGTAGAAGAAGCTGTTGAAGTCTGTGGAGTCCTTGTAGTCTTAAGTCAAGGTCAAGGTCAAGGTCGTGCAAGTAAGTGTTCGCATGGAGATCGGCCTAGCTGCGCTACTGTACTAGAGTTGATCGACGAGGGGACAAGGGGTGTTGTTTATAACCATTTTCCCTATAGCGTCTCTGGCGTAGAACAACGAACGAACCCATCCTCTTTTTTCTTTTTTTTCGCCTTGGAGAAGGTGTATCTCCAACGGAGGAGGCGTGCTCCAACGTGTACGTACATACGTACTGTCGAGACGGACCCTTCAGACATAGCTAGGCACACCCCCTAGAGTGGGAGGCCATCATGCTCCCTGTTGGTATTAGTGTTAGCGTTGGTCTGTCCGGCTCATGGGTGAGCGAGCAATGGAACAGCAACAACAAGGCTGGTAGAGCGTGGGTCCTTCTGGTACGTGCTGGAGACGGAGCTGGTCCTGTGCTGCTGGTGCTGGGACTGGTACTGGTCCTGGTCCTGGTCCTGGTGCGCGGTCCGGTGCGCCACGCTTCTTGTTAGGTTGGCTGAGTTTGAATGAGAATGAGTGTATGTACTTTGGGCTTGTACTGAGGACATCGAATGTGTACATCCTCCTTCCAGAGACTCTTCTTCTTCTTCTTCGTCGTCTTCTTCAGTCTGGGGTGGCTTATCCCTGCTCCTCGAGCGTTTCTTGCTGATTCGGCCAACCCAATTCTTCTTCAACGTACATCGTCGATAGGCAGACTTCCAGAATAGCATTTCCAAGAATGTCCAGTTTTTCATATCCACAAACCAGACATGACCGTAGACATTCAATGGTATGGTCTCGTCTGGCCTGACCTGGCCTGACCTTGATTTGACCCAATAACCAATTCCTCCCCCCTTCTCAACTGTCTTCAACAATGAATGAATGGATAACAACACCACACAACACTACATACAGCAAGTAAACTCGGCGGGTCCCCATCTTCCTCGTGGTTGTGGTTCCAAGATTGATTGACGCTCCACTGCGAGCTCTCGGACCCTTTCTCTTGCGCTGAGCTGAACAAAGCTTCGCTCGAGGGCCGCCTCTACCGTCAAGTTAATTCGTGTCTCTCGCCTCTATTCTCTGCAACAGGAAGAGCCCCCGTTTTGTCCTGAACGATCAATCGTTATCGATGTGATGTGGGCTCTGCGGCTGACTGCAAGGCAAGTATCGTAATATGCTCCTCGCTTGACAGCACGTTAGCAGTTAGAGCCGCCGTTTTCTTGGACGGTTGGCTTTTTGGCTCCGATCCATTGAAACATTTCAACGCATGTCGTTTTGCATTTCATTTGGTCATCAGAAGTATTCGAGTTCGCCGCTGCTCTCGATTACAGTACCATCCCCGATAGCCATGCCCATGTTACAGATGAACCAGAGGATTGATGAATCCAATCATCTGTCTTGCTATGCAGTAAAATGTCACTGCAATTAGCGGTGGAGTCATTCAACGGGCGTATTCTTCCAACCATGCCTTGCTTCGAGACGTCGTGCTGTTGTCTGCTATGCCATGCTCGATTAATCATGGAATATCGATGGTCTTGTCTGTTGTGTGTGCCTCAGTATCTCTCATCCTGATAAAACAAGGGTGTACTTGTTGTCTCAGAGCCCATATGCCCGGGGTGCCCTTAGATGGTTGGGCCCTGAAGGAAGGAAGTTGACTGTTGACCTTAACCTTGAACTTGACTGTGAACCTGAACATAGAGCCAGGTACTGTAACTCATGGTGTGTGTACTGCACTGTAGCGTACCGTAGCGTGGCCCCCAGGGAAGCTCCCCCAGAAGCGTGGAAAATGCACAAGTCCCAGGGCACCAAGATGACACTCTGCAGCACTGAATCGAGAGCCCATCCCTACCGCGCTCCCCCCACTACCCACTATGCACTGTCGTAGCCTACGACCCCTGCGGAATTAGACTTTCATCCCTCTAACCTAGCCGATATCCGGCGTAGTCGGGGTCGGGGTCAGGGTGTGAGGGACCCAGTCGGTCGCCAGTGACGGCTCCCTAGTTAGCGCGCTTCGCGGTTCTAACCTCTTTCTTGGAGGACTCTGGGACTCTTCCATAGTTGATCCAAGGATCGTAGTGTAGCGGTGGAGCACGTGGAATCAGGGGGCCATCAGCAAGTGAGCGTACTGTACTCCGTAAAGCCAAAGTAAACCACCACCAGACGCTCGTCCTTGACCTTAGTACAGTATCAGAAGTCGGACAAAACGTGGGAGCGTTACCATGGAGTGGAAACGGCACAAGCCATGCCTATCGCGAGTCGTACCACTGATCCTCCCTTTCCTCGACGGCGTCGATCCAAACCCGCCCCCATATGGCATCATCACGGCCGCTTGATTGATCTGTGAGTATAGTACCGTACCGTACCGTCGACCATCTTGCGGTCAGTCCCAAAGCCAAGAACCAATCCCCAGATCAGGTGCCGGGCCACATGGCGATGCAGATGGAGCCATGCTTCAGTCCTCAGTCTGTATCAATCATATATCTGCTGCAGTCTTCGGATTCCCCGCCAACATTTAACAAGAAACCATTCAGAAATCCACTCCATGCAGATCCCCCGTGTAAGTACATACAGTAAGGAAATACTTGGCTGCAGCGCACGGAGCCAGCATTCAGTCCTCCTTCGAGGCGCAAAAGCCATTTCCACTGCATGCGTTGTGTCTGTCACTTTTCAGCGTGGCAATTCGTAAAGCACTGATAGACTCGGACAAATGGACTGCACATTTCGCAGTCGCCGTAGGAAAAAGCAAGACAACCTACTAATCCACGGTCGCAATTCGTGGCTGAAAGTCTATGCTGCGGCACAGCCAGGAGTAACTCCCCCAGGAGGAATAGCAGCACAGGGCGGTTTTAAGGATGTGGCCCCCTAAAACTCAAGGCCATGGTGAGTCGCTGCTGACAGCTCATTTGCACTGCTTTGAGTTTTCGGGGCTTGCAGGTGAGCTCCCTCTTTGAGACTTTGGAAGGAAAAAAGGAATCTTCTCTGCCAGGTTCCGCGGGACCTAGACAGAGACAGACCGACCGACAGGCAGACAGACAACATTCTGCATGGCGTCATTCTTTGCTGTGAGGCACCTCAATCGTAAACCTTGATAAGAATTTTGGTTCTTTGTCTGTTCTGTATTGCGTGTGTCGAAGATCCTTCAACCTCACCATTGCTTCATCAAGTCTTGTTGTATTCTATTCTTGACAATCATGACCCAATGTGTCTCGGCAGTTGAAAAGCTGAGCGGATCTTGATGCGCGTCCGTCAGCTGAAATCGTCAGCAATCCATAGTTCTCAACCGTTTTCAGCATCTCTCTCCAACGTCGCGTTGCATCAATGACGTCTCGCTGAAAGGGTTCCTTGCTCCCATCCCAGCAGGGCCTCCCCCCCGACTAGAGCCATCTTTCTCCCGCCGCCAACACGAATCTTGCTTTTCGATCTTGCTCAGCGTTGCATTCACGATGAGAAAAAACTCTGAACGTGAAGTTCATCCCACACTGCTTGAGCGGGATGGACCTTTGACGGTTTGACTAAAGTTTAGCAGCGCGAATTGATTGCCATTCCCAGCTTTGACCAAAGAATCAAGACCCGGGAACTTGGTAACTACTGCTGGCAAGGGTGAAGAGAACCGAACCCGTGGAGAAGGGATGGGTAACGCAAAAAAAAAAAAAAAGCAAGCAATTCCCAATCATGAACTTGTCTTCTTTACCCCAGAAAATAGGGAAGAAAGAGAAACAGCCGCAAATGGTCACCCGCAGCGCAGGCTTCGATCATGGCTTGCTTGCGTGCTGTGATCCATATCTCGCCAGCCACAATTCCGTTGCTGTGCTAGAGCGTAGAGGATGGACCCCTTGCCAACGATGATTAAACCCATGCTTCGTGGAGCTCACGATGTGATACGGACTAGGGAGGAAAGAAAACTCAGGACCTCGATCCTAAATGACAAAAGGATTCAGGTGATATAGCCTAAGTCTAGGATGACTTTTACTGAGTTTATTTTGACACCCCATATCAAGATCCGTTGTTTTCTTGTCGCACGAGGACGGAGTACACACATACATAATGATGTGATTCGACTTGACTGGGGCTTTTTTGTTTAGCCAGTCCAGTGGGTAAAGCAATTGAATGAACTTCATCAAAGCCCTGTCAGGGGCCTTGTCTTGTCTCGTTTTGATATTCTCGTGATGGATACCGACACCAGCAGTTGTCTGGTGAGGCTTCAATCCGTATAATTGCACGTAATCAATGCTCGACCCAAGATCCCCGTGAGGATCTACAATAGCCCCATGACTCTCTACCCCATAAATCGTCCACCTGGGCCATGATGCCTAGTCGGAGTTCTGTTTCTCCATCTATTGGCATCTATGAACCAGTGAACTCTCTGGCTCCGGCCCCGGAGCGTCGAGCAATCTTAGACCTGTCTCATCATCGACCCTATCTCGAGCTATTTCGCAAGTCTCGTAGCCAAAGCGGTCAGTACGGTCTTTGTGGGTTGGTATAGATCTTGGCAGTGGCATCGCGTTCAACTCTGGGGTCCATCTTTCTAGGGTCCTTCGTATGTTCTGACCTTGTGTTCACTGTGGAATGCGTTGAGAGCTTGAGCCTTGAGGGACCCATATTGGCTGATTGCTGCCCCGTTGGTTGGAGACTTACGGTACTTCGCTTAGATCGACCCAATCCTCCGAGAACCATTGGTCTTGATTCCTCCCGGTTCCGCTCCAGAGGACTGGTCG